TAATACAATTAAGAAAAGGTATTAAAGAAGTACGAATATAGTTAGTATATTTACCAATTTAGGACGCTAAACCCGAAGCGTATTAATAAACCCTTTTTAAAAAAATTATATTAAGGTTGAGGGGAAGAGATATTATAGTAGGTGATATAAATTTCTATTACCCGAATTAGAATATTTATAAGAGGGAGAATTAAAGTAGTAGAATACTTTCAATATTAGTAATTAATTACCAATTAATTTTTATAATATTATATAGTAAACTAATAAAATTAAAAAGTATAATAAGAAGCGAACTCTATAGTACGATCAATTATATTTAAATTATAAAATTACTATACGCTATATATTAAATAATAGAAAATAGAATATTTATTAAGTCGGACTACTAAGTATAATTGGTAATTATTTATATTAGAATTGTAAAAGAGCTAAAGGAGGGCAATATAGAATATAGTTAGGTACTTATAAATACCGGGAAAATTAAGGAATTTATTAACGAATATATTATAATTCTATAAATAATTTTAATAATAAAGGAATTAAAGGGAGTAGTGAATTAACTAATATTTTAATTAATTAAAATTATAGACGAGGTAGTTCCGAAATAAAAGAGAAGCATTAGTAGAAGAGCTAATTAGTAGAATAGGGATGTAAAGGAAGTGGTTAAATATATAAAAAGGGCGGTCCGTATATAGAGGTTAAAGAGAATATTAATAAGGAAATAAGAATTAAATAAAGTAAAATAGAAATAGGACGAGGCTATATAGTTTATATAAATGAAATAGTAGCGTATATTTATAGAAAATGCGTTTAGAGATTCGAAAAAATTATAAATATTGGAACGATAGGGAAGGATACGTAGTTACTTACCGTCCGAACTACCTAAAATGCCGGCACTACGCTACGAAGGTAACGATAAAAAGTTAAAGAATTACGAAAATAAAGTAAAAATCTTAATAGAAAGATTTTTCCCGGCGGTTAATATACCAACGGATTACTTATTAGATTAGTATATAGAATAAGAAATTTAATTAATAATAAATTATATAATTAGTACTAATAATATAGTAAAGATAATACGGCGGATAGTACTTAATAAAATACTAGGGAACGATTAGATTTTTAATAAATTTTTTAAAGTATATAAATATAAACTAGTAGAAGCTCTAGTAGTAATAGTAATAGGGAGTTTTATATTTGGATTATTCTTAATATAATAATAATATATTAAAATAATAGTTTTAAAGAAGCCCGGTAAAACGGCGGTATAATAAAAGATTACGGGCGTATAGAGGTTTATTACCCTACTAAATTATATAAGTAAAGTATTAGAAGCTATAATTATAGAACGGTTTATGTTCGTAGCGGAGGAGTATAGGCTTTTACCTGAGGGTTAAATAAGAAATTAGAAAGGGAGGTTAATTAAATTTGTAATAAGAATTGTAATAGAAATAATATATATAGTATAAAAATTAAAAATAATTATATTACTACTTCTCCTCAACTTTAAAGGGATGTTTAATCGGGTGAATTATAAATAATTCCTATATATATTCTAGGAAAAAGGATTACTAATATAATTCTTATATTAAATAGTAAACTTTTTATTAAATAGAATAGGTAGTTGTTACTTTAATAAAATAATATTAAAGGAATTCCGTATAACTACAGGGGTACTACAAGGCTCCCCCCTCTCTTTAATCTTATTCCTCCTCTTTATTATAATATTATATAAAATATTAAAAAAATTTAAAAGTACTATTATAGTAAAATTTACCAACGATATTAATATTTTAACCTTTTTAAGGTTAATAAAAGAGAATTATAAAAAATTTGCAACTATATAGAAAATCTACTATAAATAAGCGATAGAAAGGAGAATAGAATTCGAAGTAGTAAAATTAGAATTTATTTACTTTATACAAATATAATAGTTTAAATAGGAAACAATTAATTTAGGAAGCTACTAATTAATACCTACGGAAACAGTACGGTTCTTAGGCGTATAATTTAATTATAAATTTATTTATAAAGCGTACCTCTAAATAGTAAAGAAGAAAATATCGACGTAGGTATACGCCCTAGTACGAATTATAGCGAAAATATAAAAGTATAGTTTTGTATAAACGTGAGAAGTTTATACTAAAGTAATTAGGGTAGTAGTAACTTACGGCGTATTAACCTATTATATTCCGACGGAATTAATAGGAGAACCCTACAAATTAGTGTAGGATTTAACTATAATTTAAAATAATTATTTACGGGTAATTTCTAATATATATAAGGCGGTATTAATATTCAACTTCGAAATGGAGACCTTTTACCCCCCCCTTAACCTCTACTTTAATAAAAGAGTTTAGGTATTCGAAGAGCGGCTAATCCGTTCCCTAACTATAGTTTTTATATGGGGTATACTAATATAGATAGTAACTAAAGTTTGGGACCGAAGGATATAGTATTTATTAAATCTAATATTAATTAATAATAGAACGAAAATTAAATAGGCCGTACGATAAATACTATTCGAAAATATACTAATATTATAGGAAGAAGCGAAAGAACCTACGCCGGAGGAAAAGGAAAAATAATTAAAAGAAGTAGTAAGGAGGGAATAAATAGTAAAATAGTATATAAAAATAATAGAAATTATAAAGAAGAAAAAACGTTTTAGCGCTATAGAGGCGCAAATATAATTCAATAGAATTATATTATAGTACTATATATAGCCTAATATAAATGAAAATCCCGTGCTATATTACCTATTGAAGGTAATAAGTTCTTTACTAATATAAGCAAGAACCGGGAAGATAAGCCTACGAACGTTCTTTTTTAAAAGAAAAATACTAGAAATAATAATGCTATATTACTAATATAATATAGGGAAGGAGATATTTGAATATTTAATATTAGAATATTAGGAGACGGAATAAACCTAATTTTAAGACGAAAGTATATTTACGTAGTTAATAAATAAGGAGGAACTTTATAATAAATTTAAAATAAACGCGGAACGGATCCTAAAATAGGCTTTACAATTAAGGAGGCTATAAAAATACAAATTAGCAATTAAAATTAAAAAGGCGAGGGAAATAGAAGAAACGCTCGGGGATGTGGACTAATATATTTAATTATGTATATGAAAGACCCGGCCGAAGCCGGTAGTTACTAAACCGGAACAGAATTATATTAGAATTAATAAGAAGTTAATTAGATGTATACTAAATATATCGAAGGTAGCCCCGGAAGAAAATTAAATTATAATTAAATTAGAGGAATTGGAGAATTAACTATTCTATATTATTACTATCCAATATTATATTAGTATTACTATAAGCCTCAACCTCCTTAGAATTATAATTATCCTCCAAATCGGAACTTCTATTATTATCCTTATTAAAATCCTTAGTAATAATATTAATAGGTACTATCTTTATATTATGGCGGGGCTGGATAGAAATTGAATTGTCGATCGGACCTATAGTTAAAATACAATTATAAATATTGTAGATAGTTTACTTAATATTAGTAAGCTATACAGACCGGCACTTGCGGTAGGGAGTAAAGGAACGAACTACCTTACGGATTAAAAACGAAGATACTATAGCAATAGTACGGATACTTATAGGGATTCTAGAAATATTAAACTTAATCGAAAATAATTCTAAAGGCGGCTATATTCTAGTAAATTAAAGGGAGGGTGCACTAGAGCCTATAGGTACAAACCTTATACTATTTATAGTTCGTAGGAATCCGGAAGTGCCCTATAGCAGCACTTTTCTTTTTTAATATTTCTTTCGATAAATATTTCCGAATTTTTTCAAAAGTAACAGGTTTAACGGGGGCGTTATTATACGGCGAATTAATAGGACCGATATTAGGAGGCACTATATCCGAAGTAGTACTACCCTTCGAATTATCGGGGGAAGCCGTAACCTTCATAGCCTTAGCCGCTTTTAAAGTAAATATTTTTTTAATAGCGCTATTAAATTTCTTATATAGTATTATAAAATAATAGTAATACCGGTTTGGGTTAGATATAAGTAAGTAGTAGCGGCGGACTTAATTAAAATATAAATATAATATAGCGAAGGTAGGGGTGTAATATAAAGAAGAAAGAAGGGAAGGAAGGAGAGAATTAAATTGAAGTTTCCTTTATAGAAATATTTAAGCGGCCTAGAATAATATAATTAAAGAAAAATAGGATAAAAGATTATTAACCGTAGAGAAACTACAATAAAAAGACAAAGGAAGGACGGTTATAGGCCGGAGCCGGGTCGGCTACATATATAATACAAATTCATAGCCTCGGTTATAACGGTGAGGTTATACTAAGAGGAAGGAAATCGGGAAGGTACGGAGTTAATACGGCGCTATTGCGATAGCGAAGCGGAGGGTTTTCACCCGGCTATTACGGTACGGTTTTTCCCACCGACTACGAACGAAGCAGCACCGCGTGCCCACTAGGCGGACTATATATATAGTTAGCGTGTATAAGACTAATAATAATAATTATATTACCGGAAATAGGTAGTTAATTATTCTCTATACGAATAACCTATTCAAATAGAACCTTCTCAAATACAGGATACTCTACTAAATAAATTCGAAAAATATTATTAATACCCTTTATAAAAATCTTCTTATTTAAGTAAGTAAATTTAAGTTTTAAGGATTCGAATATAGTAGATTATCCAACGGGGTAGCCCAATTCTTTAATAATTTAGGCGGCGACTTTACGCTACGTATACTTAGGGTTATCGCGAATAAAAGTACGAATTTTTTAATAGTAAATCTTATTAATAGTATACCGGCGTTAGGATTTGTAAGGTAGTATAGTATTAATACTTTAAAAAAACGCTTAATTCTAGTTATAAAAGTAAATAAATAATTTTAAACGATAAAGATTTAAATAAGTTGAATAGGATTAATTATACTAAATTTTAGAAATTAGAAATAAAATATAACAGCTAGTAAGGGGTTAACACTCCTATTAAGAGGTATTAAGGACTAGCAGGGGGTGTCAGGGTAGCTGACAGAACTATCAAATAGGGGTAACTATAACGATATTAGTATATTACTAAGCAAGAATCTAATCTAAATCGTAATATAAAGGTTAATCGTTACTCCCATACTAATCTGCACCGTTACCGTGATTTTGAGCGTTATGGCCAGAATATCGTTATATGGCTGATCGTTATGTGCAGGTTAAACAGTAGTGTGCCATGTCCCTCTTGCTCCCGGAAAGGCAGGAACCCGTCTTCAATACTGTACGGTGGTGAAATAGATTGCCCTGTGTCGTATATCCATAATCCGTATATTCTAGATGTATCAATCAGCTGAATATTGCACAACCTAGTTGTAACAAATCATCTACCGCCAATTCGACGTTCTCAAGGCAATAGGCTGTGCATGAGACCCCTAAGCGAAGCGCTGACGTGACCAAAGTTTCGAAACATGCCCAGGCTACCCGGCGCGGCTTGGCCCTTGCTCGACAATTGCTCTCTTCTGACAATCCCTCGCACCTAAATGGTAAACGTAGCTTAGTTGTACATCAACGAAGTTTTGGGTATCGCATCATGTTGGATAAAGAGTCAAACTCGCAAAGTGACAAGAGAGGAGCTCAACCGTTGCTGGGCAACCGACTTCGTTACGTCCCCATCCGTGACGTAACTGGGACCTCTGGTTTTCTGAACTACATACACTACAGGGTACGAGGGTCAACCGCTGTAACCAGATGGCTGGGAGCCCCGGGCCCAGCCACGCCATGTTGTAGTGGAGGGTATCATATTCACCGCCTGCCTCCTACAACAGACATGTTTTTGCTTCGTGACCTCGACTTCAGGCAGAGTAGGTAGGTAAGAAACGAGTTGATCAAAGTTTCTTTTGCGCTATGTGATGAGAGCAAGGTCCCCCCCGGGTCTCCAACCCAACTGATTGATAGATCCACCACGCTGTAGACAGTAATGAATGACAGATATATAAGCCAAACGGTATAATAGACAGGACTCTCACAAACAAACAACCCAAACTCCCCGACACAAAAGAAAAGCAGCTCTGTAGCAGGAAAGTTTGTCAAGGGGAAAGAGTGATGCATCAACCAAATGACTCCGTAGGTTGTCCCAAAAGAAGTAGGCCAAACTCCACCACGCAAGTGAGCACATCCGACAACCTCCCCAACACCCACTGCAACAACCAAAACCCTTGGACACCGGCGAGAACGCCCTTGACACAAAGCAAAAGGAAAGCATCAAACATGTTACTTTCTTCTTCGCCGCCGCCGCCGCCTCCCGAGGGCCTACCCTTTGCTCTCAATCCTTCATTTCGTTTCCCCTTTCCTTCATCCCCTTGTGGCTGTTGTTGTGATGCGGTCCTGCTCTTCTTCTCGTCTTTGGTGCTGCTGTGGTCGTCGTGTCCGTCGTCATCCGATGATAATTCATACAGCCATTGGTCTCGTCGTAGTCGTAAGCGGCCATTTCGGGGTCTGTGGATAGCTCCGTGCTGGTCTTCTTGTGCCACCGTAGTAGGAACAACCACAACCTCCGCCACGGAGCCTTCCTCGCTTGACATGATAAACATCATCCTGTTCAGACTATCACCGTCGTTATTCTCCTCATCCTCCTCCTGTGTAAAACTTTCATGATCCCACTCGGGAAGCGGCGCCTCACGTCAACCAAGCCTCTTGACCCGTCCCTTGGCGACCCTCAACTTCTTATCCACCACATCAACATTAGTGTTGAGGTTATCCAGCATGTTCGTCTGCCGCTCAACCTCGTCGTTGATAGCCAGTCCCATTTCCTTCTGCCGCCTGACAATCCTCGCCAGCGCCTCCACCTCCATATCCTGATCGCGCATCGTATCCCTCTGCAGCTGCAGCACCCCCTCGTTATCCAACTCCCTCGTCCTTTCCGTCTCCGGCAACGGGGCGCCCAATACCCTCCCTCCTCTCACCGACCCTCCACCAGCACCAGTAGACCCAGCAAACAACTTGGCCCTCTCCCCGGCCTCCCCACTACTACTCCCACTCCCCGACGGCCCACTAATCGAAGCCTGCCTCGCCGCCTCCCTGCTCGCATGCGCCAAGCTCGAACTGAGCTTATCCAACCCATCCCTCTCCACCCTCGCGGCCGCCAGCAGGTCCCTTCGTCTCCTGAGTTCCCCCTCCCCGACCCGTCCACCACTCTTCAGAACCCCCAAGCCCTCCTGCAACGCGCCCAGCAAGCTGCCCGCCCTAACCAGCGCCCTCTTGGCCGCCGCGCCCGCCTCCAGCTTCGTCATATTCTCCGTCGCCCCATCCCTCCTTCCCAGCGCCACGCGCGCCTCGTGCAGCGCACCCTTCAGCTCGCGGTGCAAATCCAGCCACGTGCCCGGGTCACTGGCAGCAGCGAGGTTCGCGTCCTTCAGGCCTATAGCGGGAATTTTTCCCTCGATTCCGCTGCCACTACCCGCAGTACTAGCGGCGGCATTGGCACCGCTAGCCCCGCCGGGCAGGTTCAGAAACGCGCGCCAGACGGGCGTATCACGCCACCGACGATCGGGCGGCTCGGCAATGGCGCGGAGGTAGCGCTCGAGAGCGACGCGGCGCTTTTCCGTCAGCTCGGGGGAGTTGACGGTGGATTTGAACCAGTTCTTGGCGGGCAAGGGTTCGGGGGGCGGGGAGCCGACAAGGGAGGTGAGGGCTTGGTGCAGGGCGAGGAAGTCGGAGTAGCGCTTTTGGACGACGAAGGAGCGGAGGGGAAGTCGGAGAGTGATGTTATAGAGTGTAAAGGGTTTTGAGGAGCCACCGGATTCGGAAGAGGGGGTGGATATGGAGGTTGTGGGGATGGAGATCTCGGCTGGGGGGGCCATGGTTGCCGTTGCCGTTGGCGTTGTATATGGCTGGGATCTTCGGCTGCTTGTTTGCGTGTCGAATTGTTGTTGTCGAGGTTAAAAGCTTCGTGTGGTGTTGTTGATGTTCAAATCATAGAAGGACGACCCGGCGATGACGAAAGGCAGCAGCTTTCAGGTCACTCGGGGGAGTTTGGTCGTGTGACTGTGACGCGAAGCGATCGGCCGGAGAGGGCGTCGTGAATGTCTTGGCTTGTTAGGATAGCGACAGTCGACTTGATAAAGCAGGGGTTTTTCGTTGGTAGATACGGATCGAATGGATTTGTCGTGATCTGTGTGGACCAAAGGTCAACAGGGCTGGGCTGGCAGGCAGCACTGATGGTAGGTGAATGAATCGCCACGGCAATGCTGTGTGGATGGCTGGGGATGATGGGATGGTTCGTTTTAATGCTGACGAAGCGCTTCGAAACTGAATGACTTGAACAAAATGGTGGGTATCTCTTGCAAGATCAAAGAAGCAGACGCGAATGCCCAATGCAAAAAATGGGGGAGAAAGACAAGGAAAAAAAGAGGAAGAGAAAACGTATTGCTATCGATCAGAGGTCGAGATCAATCTGGTGTTTGATGTTGTCTGGAGAATCACATCAGACCTTCGATTGGGGTAAAATGCAGTGGTTGTTGTCAATGCAGTGCAGTGCAGCTGATCGATCGATTGGTTGGTGGTTGGCCGTGTTCCAAGTTGGAAAAACCTCCTCCAGTGTGTCATTGCGTCCATGGACAGCCAGAACAGAAGACGGATGCCCGCGATCGGATGCTTTCTTTTATGTATCCAAAGCGTCACTGCCTAACAGGGTTCGCTGGCGTTTAGTACCTGGATCAGTTAAGCACCACAACAGACGAACCCAGCGACAGGAACTCTCAGGTCCGGGCACCTTTCCGGCCCCAGCAAGGTACGTGGCGTGGCTGACGGGTCTCCGAAACGACATGATCCCCACTGTCTACACTACATACTCCGACTCCTTTGTGATCATCTTTCCAGCGGTAGCATCCCGTGTCTTTTTTCCTCCCCCAAGTAGGTAGAAATATGTTCGCGAATGCGGTGTAACTTGACGGCCTGGGAACAGCTTAAGGGAGCGATGGATTCCACTTTATAAAGTTCAGACGCTGTAACACAAATGCACTCACCCCTCGGGTCAGAAACACGAGGCATCAATCACATTTTACAGACAACCACCAGCGAGGAACGATTCTTCTGCCCATGACCTCACCCCTACCATTCAATGTTCAATAGGCTCACAGTGCAAGGAGAGAAAAATATCCCAGATAGCTTTTATCTACCGTCAAGTCTTCGTCGTATGTGCGAATTGCAGTGCGTGTGGACTATGCTGAAACCTTCCGACCCAGCTGGTGTCCAGGGAGTCATAAAGGCCCTTCTGTAAATATTGCAAATCCGTGCAAAGAGAGGGTATAGAAGAGAGGATCAACCCCCATCCCATACATACCACATGCTGTCCGTCCCAAATGTATAAAAAAGGGTCCCTTTGTTATGCTTCAAGAGAGCCCACTAGTATCAGATCCGCCCTCTTTTCCTGATACACCACGCAATGTGCCCGCCAACAATACCAACAGCATAGCGACCCTTGTAGTCCGCAGTTCATGACCCGGAGCCAAATAACAACACCATTAATCTTCGGCCTCTGCGCAAATCCAACCCAATCCCCCCACCCTCTAAACCGCGTGGCGCTACCCTCCGCCTATCTCGGTGAGCAGGCCGCGTTGCAGTTGTCGCTATAGTCGTTGAACCAGCATGTGATACGTTTAAAAGGTCTCCTGATCGTCGGCGGCTTCGGCGTCGGCCTCGGGAATCTCGAAGCCCTCCTCGGTCGAGTAAAGGATGGCCTGGATGGCCTTGATGAGACCGTCCTCCTGCTTCTCGAGTTCGGGGTCCTCCTCGACAGCGCTCTGAACAAGAACCTCAATGTCGCGCAGCTTGTGGAAGTAGAAGTCACGCTCGCGCTCCAGGCCGCCGACGGCCTCCTTGAGAGTTGCGACCTCTTGCTGGAGAGCCTGGGTGGCGGCCGAGTTGGCAGCGGGGGCTCTGGCAGCGACACGGGGACCACCGGTGGGGGTGGCGCCACCGGGACGTCTCGCGGCAGCCGAACCGGCGGAGGCGCGAGAGGCACCGCTCATGGTGGCAGGGAGAGCGCCACCCTTGCGACGGGCAGCGGCATCGTAATCACCGCCGGGGTAGTACTGGTCCCAGAATCTCTTGGTCCACTGCAGGAAGTCGAGGTTGTCCTGCATCTTGCATTTTACGAGCGCCTCGATGGGGATGGACTTTTCGATCTGGTGCTTGGTGAAGGTGTCTGGAGGAAAGCCGTCGTCAGTAACTCAACTCGCTGTGCGGCTTGGCAGGGGAACCGCCTACTCACTCTGGAGGATCTTGAAGTTCTGAATGTAGGCATATTCCGAGTTCACGTTGAACTTGACGCGGGACATGGGAACATCGCCGAAGATGCTGTCGTAGACCTGGCAGAGGGCGGCGCTGTTGCGAGCCGGGGGCGATTAGCAAAAGGGGCTCTTGTTCAACGGTCGGGCGCGGGGCGGGGCCGATGGCGATGGAGGGGCATGGCAAACTAACCCAGTACCGCACTGCTCAACCTTGGTCAGGTTGAGTTGGAGAAGACTGTTGATCCATTGAAGGAGCTCTTGACTGTGGACATTAATCGTGGTCAGTCCGAGATCTCGAGAGCTGGTGTTGGGTCCCGACCCGGCGCGAGGCGTGGCCGGGGCGACAAGCAACACGGGGATGGCGTAGTACACACCGTGATTCACCCATTTTGGCCGGCAAGTCTGGGGTTCGCAAACAACAAGTGAGCGCGGTTGTAGAGAGGAAAGATGTACGTTTGGCTGCAAAGCAGACGGTCGTGAGAAGAGAAGAGCAGCTGAGTGCGCGGCAGGCAAGGATTGGAAAAGGGCGACAAGGGAGAGTGGCTGTGGAAAATGTGTTGTTGATTCGTGAGAAGTTCACTGGAAGACTATGTATCTGTCTGGTCAGTTCCAGTGGCTGCAGGCTGTTTGTCGATGTCTTCTTCCTCCCACTTGCTGGACTGGCTGCTTGCCTGCCTCTGAAACGGGCAGCGCCAAGAGCAAGCAAGTGCCAGCCAAAATTGATGGAAATCAAGGTCCCTAGGGCGTGGGGCCAATCACAAGCCCGATTCCTCGGGGCCCTGGCTCGAGCCTGGCTTTGAAGAAAGTGGTGAGACCCCGATTGAGCTCCCTCCTGTTTCTCATCGGGTCTGTGCTTTGTCTCGCACGTGACCGTGTAAGCTATACCTAGCTCTTATCTTATTGCTTATCAATATTCACTGAGCTTCCACTTCCCCTCCCAAACAAATGCAACCATTGGACTCGATAGGTTTTGAGCTTCCTGAATTCTGACTTTCATGTTGTCCTGCTTCACCTTCTCTTGGCCTTGGTGTTTGCGATACTAGTCACCCAAAATGCGCCCCTGTGGTTTTCTTAACAAGTCTGACGACGACTCAAAGTGGATGATGATTTTGCAAGGCACACCCTGTCAGTGGTCATTTCGTTAACCGTTCGAATCTGTCGGGGTTGAGAATACCGAGATGGGCCTTGGTGAAGACTTCGGTGACCTTCTGCAACCCAACAGTTGACTCTCGCTCTTTCTGAACTGACTATAGGACCAACATGCTCTGTTGGACGAATGCAATTCCTGTAATTGCGCAATTACTCGGTTTTGGAGTTTTTGCATGTTGCTCTCGACTCCTTTTGCGCTGCTGACGCCCATCATGAGGTTGCTCGTCATCGTTTTGGACAGTTGGGCTGCTTCAACCAGAGTAAAGACGGGAACTGTCTACTCTCGGTAGAATGAGGATGAATCAGTGGGCTCTACTGGCTTTTTATATCACAGTATAAGTCCATCTTCACTCTACTTTTTTCCAATTCCTTCAAACACATGACATCACATATACATTTCGATCGGAAGCTAGTCTAGGCGTTAACGCCGACTCTCCGATGTCACATCGATGCCAACCGGCTCGGTCCGTCTTCTGTCGGCGTTTCTAATGCCCGGGATCCATTTCTTCACTTTCTGACCGAGAAAGGGACGGGGTTTGCCGCGCTTGGCAGTGGGTTTCTTTTTCGGTGGATTTCTCCGGAATCAAGATCAAAGAAGATCACGATCGTGGGGGGTCCTACGTTTGGAGAAGACCCTTGATGCGCGCTTGATAAGCGAGCGCCTGCAATCGAGGGAATCTTGCTGCAATCGGTCGATTTTCGGACGTCTTAAGAATGACGCCATGTTCATCGCAACTTTTCATCCAGAGTACCGGGTCACCACTGCATGTCTCTACTTGAAGTGTAGAGCCGAGGTTTGAGTGTTCTGTGGTATGTACACTACCATACTGCATAGAGGTATGTGCAAACACTTGAAGGGAACCTGTGCTTAGAAGTGTCAACCCACCACATCTTTCCAAGTCTTGACATACAACAGTTTGTAATCAAGTCTTCGAAGCCGAGTTCATTCCGACGAAGGTACCCCTCCATCAAGAGTCTAGACCCATTCCATCCCATGCTCTGACATGATCAGCGATTCAAGCGCTCTAAGCCATCTCCAAGTGCCGTCGTTCCGTCTCCCAAGGACGTCGTGGAACCAACTTTGCAACATTTTCCTATCTCTATGCCGGATCCATATCTTGGGTAACGGTGCGAGCTTGCTGACATTGAATTTGGGAGCAATAAGATACCTCTAGATCAAAGAGCATTCGCCATCTTTTTCGAACCCTTGAACTCTTCCACATTCTTTCCAAGTTCACCTAGAACCGGCAGTACATACAGCAAACCCTCGAAGCAGATTTATATCCTCGATAGCCTATTTACACTTCACCATGGCGGTTGATTACCCTACCAACATGATCTGGAGTACCCTCGTAACCAAGAGGGCGTACTTGGGCGGGGCTCTGGTCCTCAACCACAGCTTAAAAAAGGTGGGGTCAAGGTACCAGCTCAAGATCATGGTCACCCGCGAAGCTCAGGCCGACAAGGAATTCATGGCTGTTTTTGCTGCTGCTGGTATTCCCACCATTGTCATCGAAACTATCGAGCCAGCACGGCAAGGCAAAGTCAACAAGGCGTTTTGGCAGAAGCTGGCTCCATGGGCGATGACCGAATATGAGGTAGGTACTATATCAAATATGCACCAGGGCTGTATAGACTATCAATCAGACTAACAACATCTCCAGAGAATCGTCCTCCTCGACAGTGACCAAGTCATTCTCCAAAACATTGATCATTTGATGACCCTACATCTTCCAGAGGGCTACATTGCATGCTCACACGCCTGCACCTGCAACCCCCGCAAGCTTGCCCACTATCCCAAGGATTGGTACGTTCTCTGCTTTGGTTCACCCGTCGATCCCGACGTGTTTCCTGCCGATCATCTCCATAGAATAGACGAACCTCGACTAACAACCCCCTAGGATCCCCCAAAACTGCCCCTTCACCTCTGCCAACCAGCACACCGGCTCCCCAGCACCCATCACTCCTTCCTCTCCACGCACGCACCACCTTCTCAACAGCGGCACCGTAGTCCTCACGCCATCAAAACCGCAATTCGACGCCCTCATCGACGCCATCAACACCCACCCGGACGTCCCCCACATGGTCTTCCCCGACCAGGACATCCTCGCTGTCGTCTACCGCGGCAAGTGGAAGCCGCTTCCGTACGTCTACAACGCTCTCAAACCGATGCGAGACTGTCACTCGTCCCTGTGGAGGGACGAGGATGTGAAGGTACTGCATTACATCCTTAACAAGCCGTGGGAGAGCCGCGATTTTGATGAGAACGACAAGGTGGAGTCAACGCATCGGTTGTGGTGGGAGGCATGGGAGGAGGTGGAGAGGGAGTGGACGGGAGGGGAGGCGGGTGAGGAGAAGAGGAGGTTGTTTGACAGTGTTTTGAGGTCGGTTGTTGCGCAGGCGTGAGGGAGTGGAAGGTGTTTCTATTTGGCTTGACAGAAGGGCCTCGGGAAAAGGCGAGGAAAAGACATTGGATACAGGGTAGAGAACGGTCAGAGGAGATGCCTTAACCTGGGCTGGTGGAATTTTGGCTTACGAAACAGTGATTACCAATAACGCGCACTTGGAGGCATTGAAGTTACAATAGGGAGCTTCGTCACGCAGTACTTGTAGTACGTTTCAATCTTCTTCCCTTCCACTGCATCTTCCCTTGAGGATGCCAAGCCGGTGGGCTACCATCGTCACTTCCTAATTGCACAAGAAAGGAAAGAGGGGTAAGAGCATCCTGGAACTCTAGAGGTACTTACCATAGGTTTTTGCCATGAAGGCCCGGTGCCTCGGACACCACTGCACTCTGATTCATAACTCCAGCTTTTCTCCTCATTACCAATATTTAGCACAGCCGTCGTCAACGAACCATAGCTGTACCTTCCAAACAAGAATTTGAAGCGCTCCTGAGTAGCTTCATATATGTCGCCAAGGATTATAATGACTCAAATGACCTCGACAGCCACCTCCAACACCTGGAGATATCTTCCCCAACCAAATAGCTCGTACGGGCACCAACTTCGCCTGACCAGATGCCTATTCAACATGGGATAGATCCAAGTTTGGATAGTCACTGATGTTCAAATCTCCATCGCTCACAATGATGGGAACGACAGATGGTTGAACTATTAGCCATCCACATCTTCATGAAGCCTAAAGTCCTTGAAGCCATTGGCCCAACCCGTTCAATCTCGCTCGACAACTATCCAAAAACCACAGAAGCACAGACTTCACTCCTGGGTATGCCCTACATGCTCTCCATTTCTCTAACCTGACCACATTACTAAACCCTCCACGTACTCAGCAGGACAAATGGCCCACCCTCTCGCAGCCACCGGCTTTGTCGACCAAGTAGAAGTACAACCTCTACGTCCCAACAGCAGCGAACTATAACATGAATGCACCAAATTCTCTCTCGCCTACACCATCCTCTTTCAACCACCACCAGCAACAACAGGAAGCCAACAACTTCTTCGCAGTTCTCTGCAACCAATACTTAAGACTCCTGCTTAACTTTATCGATTCCTACCTCCCGCTCGTCGCCGTCTTAGCCCGTAACCTGAACCTGAGCCATCCATCCCCCTCTCACCCCTCTTCTCACGCCTTGTCTTACTCCTTCTCATTTTCATCTCCCTCAGGCCCCTTTTCCACCTCCTCCTTTTCTTTCTCCTCTTCCTTTCCGGCACGTGGCGTCCGGTAATTCCAAGATCCGCTGCTTCACCCGTTCACTTTTGCTTACGGACAATATGGCAGGACGAAGGCTTGGGAAATCATGGGGCAGGATCCGGAGAGACCTGGAGACTTTTCAAAGGGGGATTGATGGGTTGGATGATGTTATGGTTCCGTGTGTGAGTCATTTATGTTTTAGCTCTTTAGCTGCGAGCGAGGCTGGTAGAGGAGATGTAGGCGACGGTCACGGAGCAGTGTTGAAGCAAATTTTGGAGGCGCACGCTTAGTTGAACCCCGAGATAATCCTGTTGCAGGGTAGCGAGTATGTGATCGAGCTGGTGAGGACTGGGCAACGGAATGGGACAGATCTGCCGAGGGGCGTGAAGGCTATGGTTCGTGATTTCATGAGGAAGCAATCTGCTAGAGGTAGGTACCTTACACACACCCATATCCGTGGGCGGACCATTTTGGTTGCTGAAGTTGTTAACTGACTTGCCTCATCAATGCCAGGCGCGAAAGCATGTTTCATGCGAATGATCCTTCATGATCATCAGTGGTGGAAGGCAACATTGAGGAAGTAGTTGCAAGGTGAGTGGCAACTTCGCCAGCTCCACATCGGTTAAGGGGGTTTGTTTACATTGTGAATATCGCGGACCCTAACCCTTGTCGATCATGGTGTTTACCTTTCCATTTGTCGAAACCCGTCTTCTTTGTCCCATCTCTTTGACGCTGGTGTCTCAGGACGGTGATATCCCAGTGATTCCTTTGAGATTGAGTTTTTTTTTCCCAAAATTCGATACAATTTGAAGATCAAATTGAGAAGACAAGCGAAAAATGCGCCCTGGACGCTTTCTCCGGCCATTCTGATTCGCTCCAACCCAAAGTATCCACCTCGTTGTCCACAACATGAATGCACGAACAGGTTTCACGGTCCCATTCGTTCGGGTCTCGATACCCCAGGTTTTTCTCGAACAATGACATGACATGGACTGGCTCACCTCACCTGTTTCCCTTTTTTCCCTTCCTTTTTCTTTCTTCTCTTTTTCTTTTACTACCTTGCTTTTCCATCCAACTTGATTTTTTTTGGTCACTCAGAACCTCAAAGTTCCTCCCCTTCACTTGACAGCCCATCCATTCATTATCTACATCCAGAGAAGTCACCAATAAGAAAAAGGGAAAAAATCATACCTTTTAACAACTTCCAACACCAACCCGCGGAAAAAACTACACTATCTACCTAACTACAGCCTTGAAAAAAGGTCCCAAGAGTTTTCCAAAGAAGAAAAGATGTGCATCCGCGTCCTAACAATCTTCAAATGCGCCTGTCCCCACCGCAACACCCTCGTGTGTCCACACCACATCCACGTCCGCGAACCTTCTTCGTCAACCGCCGATCCCCAAACCTCCTCATCTCACCAAGTTACTATCATTACCCCTACTAGCTCATCCCCCCCATCCGAATCCCTAGCAGAAATTACCACTACCACCAGCAGCACAGACGATGACGACTTTCAAAAAGGCTTCACTCCCCGCCTTCCCTCCGCCCTCCAAGGTCACAAGAACTGGACGCCCCTTCCCGGAAAGGAGAATCAGCGGTGGGAACATTGTCCCGGCTACCTCGCAAAAAGCAGAGCGTTGGCGGTGGCGGTAGCGGGAGCGGGAGCGGGAGCGGGAACGTCGTCCTCGGGTGGTAGTGGTAGTAGCAATGGCAGTAGCAAAACGGGCGAGGGCACAGGGATAATTGTCGGGAAGGAAACGCAATGCGCAGAGTACAAAGCTACGGAACCAAAGTTTAGGAGGCGGTGGGAGGTTAAAAGTGGGTTGTGTGAGGAGTGTAAGGGGATGCATGGGATGCAGGGACCTGAGGCAGAAGATGGGGAGAAAAGGAAAGATGGAGTGAAGGAGAGGGGGAAGGAGCCTAAGGGTACGGGGAGGGGGGAAGAGAGGGGCAGGGCGAGGAGTAGAGCGGCTACGGACCCTACGGCGAATGCTGTGCCGGTGCCGGCGATGGTGACTGGTGGGAAGGTGGTGAAGGGGGTGAGTGGGAAGGTGGTGGGGAGGAGGGCGGTGAGGAAGAGGATTGCTACTTTGTGAGCTGAGCCAGTGCCGGGTTTGGGAGGTCTCTTTTGGGGGATCGATATTAAAGTGATTCGATTTTGCGGTACCTACAAGAGTCGATATTGAAAAGGTCCCTCCACTTCCACCTACCAGGACTTCCAATGTGTCTGTATCTAGACACTATCCGCCAACTCACAAACCACTCCTCCCCTTCAACCCCGACACACCACACCTTTACACCGATAAACCCACCTTGAGCAAGTTCACAACTTCTCCCGATCCAGCAGCTCCATAGAAGCATCAAACATCACAACCAGCGTCGTCACAACATTTCTACAGCTCCATCTGGCTCAAATTCCTTCTCAAACCAATCCTCGATCCGCCACCAAACGCAATCGACGCCGTCTCAAACAGCCTCATTCGTGCCTGATACTGACCATCGCTTTGTCCTTTCTCATGCATACCTCTAGGTTTGGAGAAATCAGGATTGACGACATCCATATCCTCACCCCAAAGATGCTCTTATCACGCCGATGAATGTACGGGCTCATACCGATAAGGAAGCCACAGGAGATTACGGAGCTATCGGGCAGGACTATTGCATTCCATACCTATCATGGAGATGGCGGGATGGCAGCGAATGGTCTCGTGGATAAAGCGGGTGATAGAGTGACGGGTTGATTCCGAAGACGCAGACTGCAGATTACAGTGCAGCTTGGAACCAGACGCGCGGTTCTTTGAGGGGGTAGTAGAAGGGGACGCGCATATCTCCAGTTATGGCGGTTATGTCGGCGTCGGCAATTTCTAGGAGGGGCTCGTAGCGTCCGGTTTGTGACAGGTAAATGGGAATTGCCAGGCAAGAGACAAAAGGAGAGAGAAACAAACTGTTTAAGAGGAGGTAATGAATGATCTAACTCACGTCAACAATGCCCGGACAAGTGGACACGGACTCGATGGAAGTACTGCACAAAGTCAGGCCTGTCCTCCCGGGAGATTTCATCCTCGCGCTTTAAGCGAGCAGTCATTTTTGTCGACGGCGATATTGGTAATACTGGAGATATAAAGAGGCCCTAGGCGGATGACTGAGTTCTTGTCCAACCAGTAGTCCATTCAGTGTATCTGGGCGCAGATACCGAGATAGTCAATGGACTTATATCCGCAATGGACAGCGTACCGTCGAAGTCACAGCCTTGCTCCACGAAGCCGAACTTGGTATTGGCGACAATGCCGAGGAAGTCCGAGGATTAGTACTCGCCGAACTCGCACTCCTTATGGGTATCAACGTAGCGTATCTGGATATGGCCGAGGAAGTCGTTGATGACCTTGTCCATGAGTGGCTCCATGGCTATTCCAGGACGCTGGGAACGGAGTAGTGACGGACTACACAAGGGCGTTTCATGCGGGCGTACTCGGCGTTGTCGACTTTTCTGAACATGTCGTGAATAATCTTACCATAGGTGACGCTGCTGAGATCAGGGCGAATCGAGGCCGTTTACATCGGGGATCTCTTCTCATAGCATGGTTGTCCTGGTTTTCGAGGTAGACGTAATAAAACAGGTTCAGCCATCATCGAGATCTTTGGGCGACGACCCCGTAGCTGGTTCGTTGCAAAAGGCGACGATTTAGGATAATATACACACCTCTGCATGGATATAAAAGGACAAACTCGTGAATTGGGTGATGTCTGGGAGTAACCAAGTCTTTTAGTCTTAAGGTGGCAGTCTGTACGGAAAATAGGGCACTTAATCATGGCAAAACCCTAGTCTTTTGTACAGCTACTAGCTCCTTGGCTGCACCGCGCTGTCCTTTAACACTCGTGCCAAGGTGTGTTCAACTAAAAAGGTCTTGGAAGTGTCTCACCTTTTCTCCGAGGGGCGTTGTTCATTATTCCATTGTTGTCTCTTTGACTTCATCTACGGTGTAGTAAATGGATCGTCAAAGACAAAAAGCCATGTTTGTGTCTTGGTAAGTGGTGGAAATTGGTGATGCATCAGCATGGTAAAAGTCTGCCAAGGCCCTGATGCCAGGGGAGAGGGGATCTTGAAATCAGGGTGCCATCAGTCTTTATCAGGGGCGAGCTGGGGAAGAGTCTTCATTGTGAGACCAAGAGGTTGACACTGGACATACAGATCTTCAACGAAACGACGAAGCTTTCCCCCAAATTGCTACCGTACTGGTCGCGGAGACGTGTCCGTAGAGGTACGGAGTGTTGTTCCGGGTGGTGTCGTGCATCACCCTAAGCTAGCTTGGCGTAGCAACGGGGAGTGTACACTACCTAACTTCTCTCCATAGGGCTCGAGGCTCTGACTAGAAAAGCCACTAACACTGTAGCGAGATGTAGCGCTTTCTAGATGTTTGTGCACAGCGGTCGTATGTAGTTCCAAGCTTACTTTCAGAGCCCCTACTAGGCGACTTCATGTTGATGCTCGTGTTATTTGGCACATGCGTGCTTCGATGTGACTGCTTTTCCAAACAGTGTAAACTCTCCCGGCTCGCTCTTGTTAGCAACAGGTGAAAATACACGAGATATATGGCCCATGGAAGTATTCCCAAGAGACTCACCCATTGGAGTTAGATCACAATGTGCCTGCAAGTCATGTTTTGGACCCTCACACGAATCGAAGGGGAATCCCTCGGGATACCCTTTCGTCAAGTGCCGATAGTGCCCCAAATCGTAGACGAAATACTCAAGCAAACATCCCATCGGATCCGTCTGTGGCTATTGCTTGGGATGAAACAAGGTAAGTTCCCATGCGCCGGCAGTGGATCCTCGTGGGTCAGACAACCTTACTTTGACCTCTGTAGTCAATAACGATCATGGCAATTCCCGAGTTGTTCATGAACACAGTGTCGAGGTGTGGTCAAGCAAGAAAAGTCTCGAAGTCCCACACTCCATGTGTCTGAGCATCACACGTGGAGAGAGAGCCGCGGGCAGAGCTGTTATTCGTACCTAGCCATGGACAAACCTGACGGAGTTTCAGTCGGGATGATAGCCGATCATCTCTCCAAGAACCATAGGTCGGTCCCAAATCTTACCCACGACATCTCGATCTCATTTCCCCTATTGACAATTGGGTGCTGGCCAAATCCTAGGCATGATCCTAGCGCAGATTGTATTTCCCTACCCGTTTGTAAAGACTATTTGAAGCCGACGATGGAACCTCACCACTGGATCTTCTCGTCTCGGGTAATCCTCGCCTATGACATCCCCTTTCCGTCGTATCAGCTGCTGACTTGTGCCACCTCCACAGGCATTCTTTACTACCCTAGGTCCCACCCAGACCATCGGTGTAGCATGGCTATGAGCGAGGATGCCTCAAGGGCGTTGGTCATCATGTGGGTGATTGTTGGGGTGGTCTTTGTCTTGGTAATCCTTCGTGTCTACACCCGGGTGGTCTGCATGGCCGCCTACGGTGTTGACGACTGGATATATGTTGCCGCATTTGTGAGTTCAATCTGACACAAATGTGCATGAGGCAAATTTAACCTTACCTCTATTTTATCCAGATCATCCTTTTCATTTATACCGTCCTCATCCAATATGCTGCCTTCTTTGGCTTCGGCCAAACCGAAAAAGAAATAGCAAACGCTACAAGGGCATCAAAAGCTCGACTGTTCGAATGCCTCGGACAAACCACGTCATTTATTGGCACGCCTCTCGCTAAAGCTTCACTTGGAGCGTTTCTTCTTCGACTGGTCACGGTGACGTGGCATCGGTTTGCTGTCTGGGGAGCAATGACATTGATGTTCTTGTCATCTGTTGGTATGTAAGCTCTCTCTTGTCCGAGTGGGACAAGATCCACGAACAGTGTGTTGTAGTCCCAGACGACATTAACAAGATTTTGTCCAACAGCACAGCTGCTATGTTTCTGGCTGTCCTGTCGTCCTTTCAACTACGTGTACAACAAAAATATCCGGGGAGTCTGCCCAGTTAATACACGGCCAACTTTCTATCTTCTCTATGGTGAGTGGTAGAGCGAGCTTGAAGATTCGGATAATGACTAACCTTTGGTAGGTTCAACCATCGCCACAGACTTCTTCTTTGCAATGTTTCCATGGATCATTCTGTGGAAACTTCAGATGCCCAGACAAGAGAAAATCACTATTGGCTGCAGTCTGAGCCTCGGACTAATGTCAGTATTCTTGATGTACCAACACACTCAGTTCGAACTAAAATTGATGATGATCTAGTACCGCTGCGGCCGGTGTAAAACGAGTGACAGAAGTGGAAGGCCTGTATACATCAAATTATCTGAGTAAGGAAAGCCCTGTAACGACCCATCTATATAAAGCTAACAGTTCACTTCCACTTACAGAAACCACCCTTCCTCTCATTGTGTGGTCGGCCGCAGAGATGGCTATTACCCTGGTCTGCATCGGCATCCCCGTTTTGAGGCCGCTATACAAGCGCATGTACTTGCGCTTTCAAAGGCAATCCGCACACTCGTCAGAATATCTCCAACAATTAGACCGCTCAAAGGAGCAGCCAGGATTTGCACTGCAGACAATCGGCGGAGGGCCCCTTGATAAGGAGATGAGTAACTTGGAGCGAATGAACAGTACAAGACCAACAAGTGTCATGAACAACAACACTGATGACTTTCTTTACGAGCGATTCCGGATAGGGATTAACGAAGCGTCTAAGACGACGGTGATAGCTCAGCAGCGAAGGCTTGACGACGAGGTTTCAAAGATGGACGCACTCGACGATTACAGCCGTAGCCAACTTGAGCGCAGTACTGATAGCACACGAAGGGCATTGGGAGATGAAGAGCTCGGTATGGCGAATAGTAACCAGCGGAGTCAAAACACCATTACCGTAACGCAAAGCTTTAGCGTTGATAGAAGTTGAGCAGGTAGTACTTTATCTGTTCCCATGTAATTGTCAGTCGTTCAAAGTCGAGAAGAACTCCGTTGCATTGAAAAAGCAAGGACACCAGTGTTGCGAAAGGCAAGGAAAACGGAAACAAAGGTAGCCCAAGTGATGATATTGGATACTGAATTTATGACAAGGAGATGTTGCCACACCAAACGCCGCATAAGCAAAGGGCTGGAACTGCCTAGCAGTCTCATAGGGGTATCATGGTCCGTGAAAATGCTCAAGTACAAAGTGCAGGAGGAGAAGCCAGAAAGTGGAACAGAGTATCGTCTGAACCAAGACCATGAAAATGCCGCTTGCCATACACAACCATATGGAGTTTCCCCACCCGCGGACCTCTAAAGCTATCGTTTGACTTGCTTGCAGACGTTTGTCGTCCTCAATTGTTGTTCTCGGCGGCGTCGCACGCCGACCACAAATCGGAGGGTTGCTCGGGATTTCCGCGGTTTCTGACACCACTTGTTTTCTTTTTCTTCACATCGCACTCATCGGCAAAGTCTTCCGGTATCACACCCCTTCTTCGTTTTCCCAGGGGTTGCGTAGCTCCGACATTCAGCCATCTTGGCAGCATTACCTCCTCTTGAAGCACCATGATGCCATTGATGATGACAAGCCCATGCGTGTGAGCTCCCTTGAACTGGTGGCGCACAGGGCAAGTTCCTCCATCATTGACCGGGTTGCGTATTTGGATCTGGCGATCTTTGCGTGTTCTTGTCTCAACAAAGGCATTCTGTCGCTCTAGACACGGCGGTCTGCGGCTAGACCTAGAAGGGCGAGACCAGATGAACCGGGAAACTTGTCGATCTTGGCTTCCATCGGCATATCCATCTACCGCAGCATTTCGTCCATATGTTCTTCGACGGTTGGAAGAGCCACTCAGATGTCTCGAGGGTATAAGGGTGTTTGTGTCGATATTTTGATGGATTTGCTTGTGATAGTGGCGGGGGTAAGTTGACTCTGCTGATAATAGACAATAAGGTACTGCATTCAGAGCGTTATTTGACGACAAGAACAGGCACTTACTATATGATTTCGAGTGAGTGTTTGGGAGATGGTCCAGACACTCCAGTGCCAGGATTGCTAGCTGGCCCAGACTCTCCGGATCCTGGGTGAAACGGACATGCGTAATCTGCCCAGAAGAGTCAAGAAGGGAGGTGGAGAGAAGTTTTGGTTGCATGATTATCGAAACAGAAAACAGCTAAATCCAGCACTACTATCATGCTCTGTGCTTCAGACACTAGGATGGAAAGCCTTAGGAAACAGAGTAGAAGACCGAGAGAATGGCAAAACGGGGTTCAATGGGGTACAATGGTAAGAGAGGCGAAGATGTCAATGACGTTCCAAAATAATCATGTAGCTGGAAAAGTGATGTAGCAGCTTTCTTGGGTCAGCATGTGGACGAGAAAGAGAGGATAGACTGCTTATAGCTGTTGTACTCGTCATCCTATGCCGGTTGATTGATGCCCCTGAAGGGTGCTACCATCTATGAGGCGTAAGCTTGGCCCATTGTTGGGTAACTCGACCTCCATCAAGAGGCATGTTGGTACTGGGCTTCCGAGATTGACAGATGATATTTGGTGACTGACTACACTACTACTTTGAACGGCCCGGGGACCTAGTCGGCGGTGTGGGGCTCCTTTCGTGTTAGTGGTCACCCAGGGCACTGTTGCCTGCTGTGCCTGGGAGTGCAGTCCAGGCAGACGCAACAAGTGGAACCTACATAAGGAAGGTAGGGTAGTAAACCATCTGGTACTGTATGGTAACAGGGAGGTACGATGGGGTCATTGTAGATTGGCAATTCACTTCAAAACTCGACCAGTCTGGCAACATGTTCCTCAAACACAAGGAAGAGTACTTAACTAGAGGTAGGAGAGGGTACCACGATCGCCGTAGAGACAACCTCGGAAGCCGGCAATCAGGCGGGAACTTCTTGCCCCACCACAGACTGGAGCACAGCCCAGCAAGGCGCAAGTCCACACATACCGTACGTCTAGCCCCTAGAACTGAACCTTGTCACAATCCCGACTTATATCAACAAAGGGACTTGGATTGTCTGCGCAATACTTCCAAGTTGATAACATATCCTGTATAGTCTCGCGGTTTCTGGCATCAATCCCATCTACACGTAGATTGATGGGATTGCTAAAAGCGATGAGTCGACTTGGGATCTGAAGGCAGCTCCACTACCTTTAAGCTTAAATGTGTTTGGTGCTTAACAACATCCGATCCATCATCACCGGGGACACTCAAACTGAAATCGGTCGGCCTCGTCAACTTCTTTGTGCCGATTTTAGTATCAGTGCTGGCGAGGATAGCGCAACCTTCTCTGATGCCGACTAACAGATCATTATCCAGCCAGCTCGCCGATACCCGATTCCAAGATAAACAAGTACACTAGCCAAGCGAATTACCCCAAAATTCCGAGCTTGTGTAGGCTTGGTATTCCAATGATATGTGTTTACAGTTCAACATCATCATCATGCTTGCTCGGCGGGTGGCGACACATCAGGGCAGTGTGTACCACCCACAACCATTCAGGCATTTCGCTCTACGTCATGGGGCCAGACCCTTTCAATGCGGTCATGGCTGTCAAAGAAGCAAGCCAACACGCCTCGATCGAAGTGAATAAAATGACATGACCCAACTCGCATCCATAGGTTTCATCTGATTTAGTTATTCCAATCACATCTCGCTCGCTCTCAATCAACCAACTTGAGCGATCCTCCATCACAAACGAGGTCAAAGTACACCGACCTGAACTCCTGAGCAAGGAGACCAACAACACCAAAATGGCACCAACACCATCTGCCCTCGTGGCCAAGTCCCTCTCTTCCGGCAGCGAAACGCTTGCCAACCTCGTCCCCCGCTACATCCACCGTCATCGTCGTCTCTCGCGCGGCGGCCTCATCGGCGTAATCGTCGCCATCGTCGTCGCATTGATCATCCTCGCCTTCTTCAGCTTCTTTTGTCGCAGAAGGAGAATTCGCCGGTCACGACTACACATGCACCAGAACATGCAAGAGACGGCAGCTGCTCCTGGAGGATGGGCTCATTCATCCCACCATCATCAACCACCGCCGCCGCCGCCGCCGCAGAATCCGAACGGACTGAATGCTTCTGGTGGAGGATGGGCACAGCCTGGGACTTATCAGCCGCCGCCGTATCAGCCGGATCCAGTTTACACCAGGCCGGGTGGGAACTACCAGTAATTTTTCATTGGGTAGTTACAGGATCATTGGTTTTCCTGGTGTTATTTGTTGGTACAGGATGCTTAGAGGTATTGGAGTTGGGATCATGATTTACGATCAGATGTCGGTGCCAATACATGGTTGGAATGGGCGAAAACATGAGCAACGCACTCTGGGGACGTGGGGTACATGCTTCTTTTATCTTCATTGAAGCTTCCAACGAAGGAGCCTCCTGTAACATTTTATACATGTATATTGTTTCGACATGCTTTAATGTTATATTCTTTGAATATTTACCCTTGTTATCTGCTCTTAAGAGACGACCCTAACCCTTGACCGTGTAAGTGATAACAAGTGTGTTGTGAAGGTATTCCCAAATCACATTCCGGATTCCTGGATTGGAAACCACTGATAAAGGTAATGCATCTCTCCATCCAAAGCCATTTCGTTTCCGACCTGAACATTCAATCACAGGGCGCCCAAGTTGTTGTCAGCAAGACCACATGCCTGCACTATGAGGTAGACCAAGCCATGATATGCAAGGTACGTCGCATTGGTAGGGTGGAAACGACTCTGCCATGCCTGCGCATCACTGTTTGGGCATTGGGCAATGCCTAGGGTAGCAAGCTAACGGATTGAACGCCCAGGAGCGCCATTTCCACAATTGCAGCCGTTTATCCTACTTTCTATCAACTTGATTTTGCAACATGCTGTCATAACCCTATCAATGAGATTATTTGGATCGTGGCATCGATTTCAAAATAGCAGGACTCCGTACAACATTCAACATTAATCCGCTTTCCAGATCGCCCCCCGGAAAACCCTTTGACTCAGCTTTTCCCCAAGCCTCGAACCTGATGCCGTTATACCCGCTATTCTGTCTTGGCCGCTCACGGTCCCGGCCCTTCGAATGGCCTCAGCCCCCCTCCCAAAATGAGAGTCACTTGATCTCCAAACGTCGGCCCAATGACTTGCCGATGAGTACGGGCTAGAGCCCAATACTGTTTGGTTGAAGGCGACCATGGAAAGAGGCAGTGTTCTTTTTGTTCCTGAATGCGCAGACGTGTTACTACCAAATAATACCACCTGCTTGCTGCGTGACCGTTCCTGGCGACGGGACGCAGCCGAAAGGGGCAACTGTCAACGTATCTGTGCCAAGCATAAAAGGGTGTGATGCCCCTCCCTTCTGAGTGTTTTGTGTGATATGAAGAAATCATCATTTGTGTAGACTCTCTCAATCCACTCAGGAAGACCAATGGCCCGAGTATTCGGAGTTCATCATCACCCACCTTGACAACGCAAGTTAACAAACAACACATCAATCGAGCAGTCAGTCTCATCAAGAAAACAGCAACAAAAATACCTGACATCATCGCCACCACACATTCCACAAGAGGAGGAGGTTTGACAAAACCACAAACCACAAACCACCACCCAAATGGCACCAACCTCTTCTACCACGGGCCTCATCCTCCCCCGTGATGCCTGCCACGACCGCCACGGCTGCGGCACCATCCGCTCCGACAAGCTCCCAATCATCATCGCCGTCGCCGTCGTTGTTGCCATCATCATAGCCACCATCTATTGGTGCAGCTTCCGGTCATTGAGGGCTCAGAAACGAAAGCGGAGAATCACAGAATTGCCTTCGAGCACCGCACCTCATGCGGTCCGGGAGATACCCGCGCCGACGACGTTGGGAGCGGGGCCAACGGGTGCGGGTACAGGTGCGAGTGCGGGTGCGGGTGGAAGTGGAGCCACCGAAACCGGGGCAGTGGCGGCGGCGGCAACGGCGACGGCGGGAGAGGCAGGAGAGACAGGAGGAACGACATGGCAGGTTCCGACAAGCGGGCATAATCCTCTAGTGCCGCCGCCAATGTACGAGGAGACGCCGCCGCCGCCGCCTACTTATCAGAGGGATGCCCAGGCGCCGAGGTATGTGTGATGGATGATCATGGGCTTACGTTTCTTTTGTTTACCCAGGCGTCTTCGGAGTGCCAACGGGAATATAGAGGGGCTTGATTTAATCGGGGGAAGTAATGGTGATGATGATGATGATGATGATGCAAGTCCTACAGCTTGTGGACCTGGTGGGAGTTAATATTTGGACGACTTAATGTTTCGATGTAATACTCAGTATACACTACAGTAGACAGATACCCCAAGAGATACCCCTTGAACCCTCTACACTACTGATATAGGTATACCTCCATCGACAAAATCTCAACAACACCTCATGTTTCCTCCCTTCCGTTGTGGTTCGATCTTGAAGCCATCACGGTGGGGATGGTCTAGACAGGCGGCAGCGCGGGGATATTCCTAGCGCAAGTATGCTTGAGACACAGTGGAGTTTTAGGGCCGGTATCCCGGATTGCGACGACTGACCGAAAATTCCTACTTACTGCAGCGATTCCTGTTCAGCCCGTTCCTGAATCAAGCACAGGCCATGTGCTCACCGTGATAATCTCAAAAGGCGAACTCACGCCGAGACCAACGACCAACGGAAATGGATCTAACCTCTTTGGAACGTCTGCCTGCTGCAGCCTACGCTAGAAAGACAAAATGCTACCCTCAAATCTCAACTAATTGTCCGAAGCCACACAAATTCTCACCGTTCTGGTTCTCGACTCTGTCTTTGTTTCCCCTGTTCAAAAGTTTCATTGGGACGGCACGGTGGCTGATTATTTTAGGTGTTTTGTTTGCCCACTCATGAATAGTCTGCTTGTTCTTTGTTGCTGTTGCTGTCTTGTCTACAATACATACTTTTCGGAATTCAGCAGTTGCACCACCGACAGTGGAATCCACGATATCGACATGAACTGATTCGGCGACCTATTCTTTAATTATAATACACTCACGCGTCATACCCACCGAAGCAACAGGAAATGGCGCCTTACGCTCTTTTTCGTCAATTGTGGCCTGCCGCGCTCTGTCTTGTTGAGGTTGCCAGTGCCGCCGATGGCTATGTTCACCTACCCTTCTCGCGCCCCGAGCTGAAGGATCTGGACTTGGGAAAGAACGGTTCGAGGACACTATCCGACTTTGTCGTCCCCTACCTTGTCCAAGCCCAGGTCGGCACTCCTCCTCAGAACTTCTCGCTCCTCATTTCGCCAACCTCGACCGACACCTGGGTGGTTGACGCGACCACCTCGCGTTGCGACTATCAGTACTCTTCGTACTATTGGGATGAGGATGAGGTTGAAACCGCCCGGGCTCTTGATGTCCAGAAATGTGTCTGGGGAAGCTTCAACAAGTCTCAGTCATCGACTTACCGAACCGCGAACCCGCGACACACCGATTTTGCCACATACACCTTTTCTGGTTATGCTCAGGGTAGCAACTTCACCGACAAGCTCGTCGTCGGCGACCTCACCGTCGATAACTACCCGATCGGCCTAGTTGACCAAACCAACTTGTGGATGGGGGTGCTGGGCCTTGGGTACAACTACTCCACCATTTACGGTGAATCCTCCCTCTACGGCGCCAACCTCCCGGGCTACTACCCCACCATTCTCGACCGCATGGTCTCCTCCGGCCAGATTTCCACCCCGGCCTACAGCATCTGGCTCGATGATGAAGACGGCACCTCCGGCGGTCTTCTCTTGGGCGCCGTCGACAAGTCTCGCTACGAAGGCGATCTCCTCCGCCTTGACGCCAACAACCCGCGCGCCCTAACCGGCAAGTTCTCGGTAACCGTCCACTCCATTAACGCCACGGGGCTCGGTACTGGCGGCGATGGCTCCCAGCAGCCCCTAATATCCAACGCCCTCCCCCTAGACGTCACCATCGGCATGGGCGAGCTCATCTCCTTCCTCCCTAATGACCTGGTCAGCAACATCGCCTCTCTTACGGGAGCCACACACGACACCACCGCCGGCATTTACACCATCCCCTGCGCTGCCGGCACCTTCGACAACGCGACACTCTTTGCCTTCACGCTCGGCGGCGAAGGGGGCCCACTTCTACAAGCGGCAACTGCCGATCTGATCATCCACCCGGGCGTCTTCACGGGCCAGGTCTCCAGCTTCGACTCGACAAACTCTGGTTCATCCTCTTCATCCATCAGTCTCGACCTCCCCGAAGGCATCTGCGTCTTTGGCATCCAAACCTGGAACGACGCCAGCACGCTCAACGGCGTCAGCTATGGTAGTAGCAGTGCCAGCAGTAGCAATCCCTACTACAACCTAGGAAACTCCCTCCTCCGCCGCACCTACTTTGTATTTGACCTCGCCCGGCAGGAAATCGCCTTTGCCCCCGCCATCTTCCAGTCCTCTTCCTCATTATCCGCTAGAGCCTCGACCTTCGATGACACCGACAACATCATCACCTTCACCCAATACGGCTCCCCCAGTCCGGAGTCTCAATACTTCTGCTCCGACTATGAATACTACTGCCCCGAGGACGCCGTCAACTCGAACTCTGGAGGACGGTCTACCCACGGGGGCGCGTCGTCGTCGGACGACGGTGATTATTACGATGGAAGGAGGTATTGGAGGATTGTCTGCATTGTGCTGGGAGTCGTCTTTGGGACTCTGATTCTGGTCGGGCTTGTATTTGCTGGGCTCTTGTTTAAGAGGGTGTTGGATAAGGATCCGAGGACGATGGGGTTGCCGGAGGAGAAGAAGAAGCTAATGGATGGGGGAGAGGGGGGTGATGATGAGCTGCAGCCGTTGGAAGGTGATGGGCAGGGGATGATGAGTCCTGCTGCTGCTGGTGGTGGTGCTAGCTCGGGTGGGGCGGGGGTTTTGCCTATGATTCACGAGGGAAGAGAGGATGACGCTGGTTCCGATTTGCCGACGAGGGAGCATGAAGCGTCAGGTTCGGCTCAGACTCAGCCCCAGGTTTTTCCGGTAAATGTGAATCGCGAACAGAGGTTGTCGGCGCCGGAGTCTCTAATGGATGCGCCGAGGTCTCCGAGCCCGCTTTCGGAGGATGGTATGGGCGGCGCGAGAGCGGAAGCTGCTTCGCCGGTGTCGGAGAGAGTCATAACTCCTCCGACCGAACCCAAGGGGAAGGGGAAGGCGGTTGCTGAAGTTATTGGACAGGCGAAGTAAACTGATATTTGTTGGACTATGTGAATAGGGTATAAGGAGTGTATGAATGAAGGTAATGGTTGTTATTGGATAATCAAAAGAAAAGTAATCAAGATACCCTGAATGTTTTGCACCATGGTGTTACTTTTGCATCGGTCTATGGTTTATGCCCTGAACAGGCGCTGATGTGGTTGGGTCGTGTAATGATCGCATGGGATCTGTCTCATGCCTCTCCGTCGCTCAGACTGAGACACTGGTCTCGGAGTTCTTAAATCGATCGCATGCAGGCACTTCAAGGTCCACTTCGATATAATATCCTGGCCTGGGCCTTCCTTGTCGCCAAGTAATCCAGCATAGACCCACCTGGACCCTTCTTGCATCACCTCAAATCATGGAGATTGAATGCATTCAGCACATAACATCGCTCACAACGGTTCAACACGGTTCAGAAAAAAGCACGTTTTCCTGCAAGAAATGACATGCGTAGGTAAGGTCCATAGACCATCCATGGTTGTTGTCGTTGTCGATCCCCATGTTGTATTTGGTATGTAGCGTACGGTATGTGAACTTGGGTAAGTTGTAGGACAAAAGCAGCCGCTGACGTCATTGGGGACATCGTCGTCACTTTTGTGTGTGTTATTGGGTCAAATGCGTGTAAGTGAAGTGTAACACGAGGTCCCAACCAAACGAGCGGGACAATAACAGGTAAAGAAAATCAAACTTGTGGAATATCCTTCGTCATTGTGAGCTCTCGCTCGTAGGAATGATACCAAGTATTTACCTATATAACTGCCGGAATCCCCCTTTCCCTCGTGCGGTTGCACTTGTTTTGTTTTGTCTTGTTTTTGAACACCGACACCGTACACACACCACGAAACCCATCACGATACCCACAACCAACAACCTAGGTAGCCACTACCCAACACCTACACTAGTCTAACTAAAACCAACAAAGACAAAGAAAAGAAGAGCAAAGAAAAAAAATGGCCATCTCGACAGCCATCACCTCCCTCCTAACCTCCATCACCGAATTGATCCAATCCCTCGTCAACGGCATCTACTCCATCTTCCACACCATCTTCTCCGCCTTCTTCAGCCTTTTCTTTGGCCTGTTCGCCTTTGTCGGTGACTTGTTCAAAGGAGTCGCCAACACATTGGGCGGTGTGGGTAATTTCGTTGCTAGTGAGTTCTTCACTTCCCTCCCCTAACCCTCTTCTTTTCTTTTCTTTTTTCTTATCCCTTCGGTTGGTTTCTACTTTGTGTGTGTATTTGTATACCTTCCTCGTAGTGTCCCCCTGTGAGGAGAGGTGGCGGGGGAAGAATCACGCCAGTGGAAAACAAACGTAACGGGCAAAGGAGAACAAGAAAAGGAAGAAGAAAGAAAACATCAAGGTCAATGCTGACAGAGACAAAAAAACGCAGGCAACTTCCTCATCATTGCTCTTATTTCCGCTGCTGGTTTCGCCTACGTTCGCTACACCAGCCAAGGAGGCACGACTTCGGGACAAAAGGCGGCGAGTGTAGGCAGGAAGAAGGTCAACTAAGTTCACATGGGGACAACTTTTGGAACCTAGATTGCCGACTATGGGCCGATGACGAGTTTTGCGTCGGGACAGCGAGGAGACGGTTACGTGGCGCCCTGTGTGGGAACATAATGACATTTTGAGTCGAAGCACGAGTGAGGAGGTTGAGAGCGATATGAATAATGAATGGATAGGATACCCCCCGGACAGCTTTTTGGATGGTTTACGAATAGTTATTCGAACTGTATTCTTGGAGTTATGGGTTTGGGTTGTCTGGAGGCTTTGAGAGGATAATACCACAACTTTGTCACTACTTCCTTCAAATTTCACCAAGTTCGCTTGTATAATTGTATCAAAAAGACAATGATACGGGCAAATTGATTAAGTGGAGTTCGAGCTCACTTAATTGCCATGTTAACCAAAACACTAGGTATCATCCACCACCATTCCGTACCACTTCCGTCACCCATCCAAAGTAAGCCAGAACGCCGTCTATCCATATCAGTATCTTGGGTCCGTGTGTGTTGTGTTTCCTCGCCTGTGAATGCCCGAAAAGATAGAATGGGGATCGAACCCATCCATATGCCCAAGGATTAAACAAGTAAAGAACCCAAACAACCGCAATCGCTCTCCTCTAATGCATGCCCGCGCTCAAATGCAGTCTAAGCCTTATCACCAAGTCTCCTTCTGACTCTCCACCGCACTCTCATACTCCTCCTCACCCTTACCCTTCTGCACAATAACCGAATACCTCCTCTGCTTATGCTTTCCCTTCTTTCTCTCCTCCTCACTATCGCCCTCATACGCATCTTCTCCTTCACCCTCCTTCCTGATTCTCGCACCACCAGCATTGGCCTGAGCGTTATCGAGGTCGACTCCACCCTTCTCACCCATACCGCCTTCCTCAAGCTCGCCGCCCTCCATGACGATGCGCAGCTCGAGGTCCTCGTCCTTGGAGTACACCCGAAGACCGACGACGCAGATAGCGTTCCACGGATCCGGCTCGTTTTCGTCCTCGGTATCGTCCTTGTACTTGCTGACCATGACGCTTCCGGGAGCAGGAGCTGCGTTCATGCGCGGCTTGCGTGTCATGTCGTCGGAGCTATAGAGCTCTTCCCAGTCTTCAATGGGGGAGGCGCTCGACTCACCATCAGAAGTGACGTACATGTTGGGTGACTTCTTCTTAGGTGGACTGCTCTTAGCGGCGGGCTTGTCCTCGGACTTCTTCTCAGCAGCAGCAGGAGGTCCACCAGATACCTTGGCGTCGGTAGCAGGAGGGACAGGGACCTTCTCCTTGTCTTTCTCATCTGCAGCGTCGGCTACGGAGTTATCAGTCTTGGGAGTGTAGGAAGGACCGCTAGAGGCTTCGGAGCTGCCCGATGAAGGAACATTGCCTTCTTGGTCGGCCTTGTTATCAGACTTCTCTTCAGCCTTGGTCACAGCGCTCACGCCACCGGAAGCTTGACTCTCGGTCTTCTCGACCGCTGGTGTCTCGGCAGGTGTGGCAAGAGGTGTGCCTTGAGGACTTCCGTTAGCCTCGGCAACTTTGACGTCTTGCTTCTCAGTATCAGAGCCCGACTCGGTCTTCTTGGCTTTTTCCACGGGCTTTGTTTCATCGGCTTTCTTCTCCTCTGGCTTCTCCTGGTTCTTGGTCTCCTCGGTCTGAACACCGACATCCTTTGGCTTCAGTTCTTCCTCCCGACGCTTCTTCTCCTCGCGCGCGGCTTGCTTGGCCTCGAGCTTCTGGTTGTTCTTGCGACCCTGCTTCTTGGTGATCTGGCGGTTGAGGTGACGCTTTTCCCACAAACGATGACGCTCCTTCTGACGAGCATCGCTAGCCTTCTTTTGGTCGGCCTTCTTCCGAAGGGCCTTCACAGCTTCCAGATGGGCGGCAGCCTTGCTGTGGGCAAGATCGTAGGCATATCCGACTTGGGCGAGCTTCTCGTTCTCGACACGCTTCTTGCATTCCCGCTTCACCACATCCTCGATGCTGGGCTGATTGGTGTTGCGCTCTCCAATGACGCTGATGAAGACACTATAGTTGCCAGGTAACATGGAGGGCAGCTCAATAGATACTGACCGGTCCATCAAGTAGTTACCGTGGCTACGGACAATGTAGTCTTCAGCGTTGGGCCTGTGTTGTTCGTGGACACGGAAGTGTAGACGGAAGGAGTATTGACCATGGAGACCCTTGAAGTATCGGTTGTCGAGCTGACTGAGGACCAATACCAAGGGCGACTCACGAGTCAGCTTGAAGTGGAATTTCTCGTTGTACTGAGGCTTCCATGGCACCTCAACACCGATCCATCTCTGACAGCAGCGCCAGTCAGGGTCGCGGAACAGACGAGTACGGTCAAAGTGCTGATACTTGCGCAACAGATCTTCGTAAGAAATCCAGAAGACGCTGTCACTGCCGAACTGGTGACCGAGCTCTTCCTGGACATCGGTGGTCCACTCCTTGGAACCGTCCGACCACGCGCCTTCCCAAATTCCCTTTTTGGTCTTACCCCAGGGATTCCTAAGCTTGACGAGACGTGTGCCGTCTTTCAATGTCCTTGCTTCCATGACGACGTAGGCATGCCCTTCGGAAATGCCTTCACGCTCGCCATAACCGCCGTCAAGCAAGCCTGTGCTGCAACCGAACAGGAACTCATCATTGACCCTGCTGAGTTCGTTTTCCCAGAACCCGTCAAGGTCGAGGATGTCGGAAGCCAGCAGCTCGGTTGTGACACCGCCAGAAAGATCTTCCAAACCCTCGCCAATCCATCCTCCGGACAGGGAAGCATAGTCGCCATGAGCCTTGGCATAAGCCTTCTCGATCAGAGGCACCCAGGTCTCGTTCTGGTCCTTGCATTGGCCAAAGAAGAGGGCCTTGGAGCCGGTCTGATAAGTTTGACGATACACCCGTTCGACATCTTCACGATCGATTTGCTGTAGCAAGTTACGCTGCATGCTTGGTGAATCCCAGCAAGGCGACTTGAGGTACAACTTGTCATCGATAATTGAGTAGATCCACTCGCCATCTGCAGAAGTGTTAGCGCGAATCGCTTCGATTGCAGAAATGGTGGTAGCAACATACCTCTGTAAAAGACAAATCCGTAAATGCCGATCCGGGTGTCGTATTCGACGCATATCCGCTTGATACCGTCCTTGACGTTGGCAAGGCCAGACAAGCTAGCAATCAACCAGCAATCTCCCAAGCTGCCCTGCTTGACGTCCGAGCCCTCAATCTTGGCCATGAATGTAGGCTTCTCGTAGATCTCGTGTACACGCTTTACTGCCTTGGGCACGGTAGAGTTGGGGTTTTGCAATGTAGACGCGCTCAAATCAAACTTGGTTCGGCCCAAGCTGTTTAGGCAGTGGCCCTTTTCCATCTTAAGATCCCAGTCCTGTAGGAAGGTCACTTGTCAGCCAAAGTTCAAGGGGAAGGTATTTAACCAGAGTAACTCACCAAGTCCCAGCCGGGATCCCGATACCGTGTGTTCACCCTCTTGCATTCTTGAATAATCTTTCTGACTTTTCTTCGGCATTCTTCAGCAGCTCGCTCGTACCCCTCATTGAGCAGTTCATTAGACCGGTCGGAGATGGTGGGCGGCAAGACAGGATCGAATGGCAAGATTGCCAAAGCCTTGTGGAACCTTTTGCTGCTGAAACGTTTCCAGATGCGGTTTATGGATTGTTGAGGAGGCAGCTTGAGTTTCTTCTTCTGTTTCTTGGTGGCTTCGCTGGAGTTGGCGGGGACCGGAATCTTCCCCTTGTTCCGACGATAGCTGTATTCCTCGTCCGACTCGGAGGACGACGAGTAGCCGTGCATGATGGGCAACTAAGTCTAACTGGACCTCGATCGGATGGAGATATCGTATCCGGATGGAGGTTCAGATAGCGAGAAGCGAGGGTAAGAGGAGGAAACGCCGCCGGGGCGTGCTGACGTGGTAAAAGGTTATATGGTTGGACCGAAACACACCCAACTATCAAACGAAGGTTTGATATATGTTGGGCCAGCGAGTAAGACAGCTTGGATAACCCGCAGCAATAAATGGTTCCTCGTCCCAACAAAGAAACAGGAAATGGAACAGGGGGATTTATAGCCCCAAGGTGAGGCCCAAAGTGTGTAAGGGTCCACGAGAGTCCGGGAGAGCGGCAGGCGACCGAGACGCGACAAGCAGGGGGACACGAGCCCCCGGTATGTTGGGGTCCTGGGCTCGAGCTGCGAAGAGCGGATGGGCGGTGGCGGATGATAGGTAGGGTAAGCGTTCTAGAAGCGATCGACTGACTCTCGTCGATCACTTGGCTGCGATAAGGGTCCTCGCTCGAGGGTGTTCCGAGAGGTCCAACTGGAGGCCCGGCGGGATACCTCGCTGTAACAATGAAAGACACACAGACAACAAAGACTATCCACGAACCTTTTGCCGCGTTGCTGAAGCTTACACTATCAGCCATACACCGAAGCTGGGTGTCCCTTGTTGGAAACACAAAGAGTCGAGACGACAGACGTCTAGGAAAAGGCCAGTGGGATGGGCAAGCAGGACGACGATGGCCGCCGGTCATCAACGTCATAATATATATCTCGCGATTCCCGCAGCAACGCAACTGGCTGAAGGTACAAAGAGGTTGACCACGTCGCGTGTTCGAGCAGGATAGGAACTTTCTAACCACAGACTAGCCGTTGGGCCATCACCTACACTACTGTGGTGTGTACAAGCTGACAAGCCAGCACTGCATGACTGCTCTCTCGCAGGCCACGGGCAAGCCATCAAGGCAAGCACCACAGAGGTGCAGGGGACAAGACCCTTAAGGGCCAGTCAAGACCGACCAGGCCGTTGGAAAAGGCGCCATTCGGAGGTATCGAAGATGACGAGCTGCGAGCGGGACGTGGTGGAGGTGGTGGAGGCGGTGGTTTTTGGTAGATCCCTTTTTGGTGTTTGGGCCCTTGGGTGATTGACCATGATTGGCTGCCAATATCGCAGGACGTTGAGGTCCTGGACCGTGTGAAGGCGCACGGTATCCTCTTGTGGTGTGGGTGCACTCTCTGAGTGACTTTAAGGGTTGATAGAGCTGGACTGAAGTCGAGGCCTCGCGATGTTGGGCAAACCGCGCCATGGTGACGGTGTCCACCGTAAGCAGTATCACCTATCAAACTGTCCATGGCCGAGTTCACAGATAGTAAAGAGAGAAAGAAGCGCCTAGCCGGCCGGTGAACATGCTGACTGGCTGATGATGTCGTCCTCGTCGCCGGCCATCATCTCCTGTGCTGTGCTCATGCTGTCTGTGCCTTTCCACTTCCGCTTCCCCATACCGTCCCAGTGCTCATGATGCCGCTCGCGTATCGTGATGGCGAATCCCTGATCTGCCCAGATGGTGATGGCAACAGAAAGGGCAATGATTTCGGTCGGTCGGTGCGGTTGACGAAAGGCGATGCGGGCGGTGGGACAAGGGAACGATGACCTGGACGAGATGGAAAATCGGGGAGAGTGGAGGTGTCGGCGTGGCACTGACGGGACGAGCGGGGGTCCGGGCAATCCCAAAGCCCCAATGGCCCCCGCCGTTTCAGTGGAGTTTCGATGGAGGCTCCCGAGACCCGCACTGAACATCACCACTGCAGTAGATCAACGGGCACCAGTATACCTTTGGAATGGATGGAATACCTCGAATAGGCAGAGAACTGCTTGGTTCTGAAATGTTTGCCTCACACAAAGCTTCTTTTTTTTGCCGGATCCATGAGCACATTAAGTTGGGGAGAGGTAGGACGATGGAGTGAGTGGAGAAAGGTACCGACACCTCCCAAGCTAGGTACCTACCGATTACTGTATTAACAATTTTTGCATTGTATTAATGAGTGATGACCTGTGCTGTCCGCTTCCTCTCCACCTCCCCGACTTCTCTTTCTGTTTCTGAACTGCAGTTCACGTCTGCTGTTCCAAGTGTTCTTGCGTAACCCCAAAGCCGATCAAATCTGCACAGAATAGTGATTGGTTATTGCCTTGGTCACTCGACCGTTGTTGTCGTCTCGGAACTTGCGGAACTTCACTTGGGTGGAAACTGTCATGATGATTTCAAAGCGATATTCGCCTCCTTCACCATCAGCCACCAGCACGAGCAGAACTCGAAACACGACCGTAGCTCCGGAGAAGAAATGCATCATGATGTTTATTCTGGTGGAGTTAAAGAGGCGACAACGGGGACTTGGCTCGAAAGCTGTCCAAGGTTCATCCATTCACCTCGTCTTTCCATTGCCGAGAACAGAGCAATCCAGTACATGCCCTTAGTGTACAAAGGCGCCCCCGTCCAGTAACAAAACTGCATGAATTTTATTCAGGAAGTCGGGTTGGCCAACAGAAAGGAAGGCTGCACCGAGGAAAGAGGCAAGAGCGAGGCAGCAACTACTCCACAGAGACTGGGCTTTGGGCGAGGAAGAAAGTCGAGAGTAGAGGTAGAGAGGAGGTACCGACCTGGCGACTGCCGGCATCCTTCAAGTCTCTAGTGTACTGCCTCTTTCCGTGACGAGGAAGTTGAATATCGCTTTCCTTCCTCTTCTTTTCAGGCTGTTCCGTTCCCCCTCGATTTCCACTTGACAAAGGCCCCAAGTCCATGGAATCGAAAGTTCACGAAACTCAGAAATCTCTTCTTTGCTGACTCACGTCCCAGCCTCGTCGACACACAGACATCATTTTTTGGTCTCATTCTCTCGCACCCTTTTCCTACCAACATTGCCAAAATGAAACCGCATACAAAGGGGCGACCCCAACAACCATAGGTGGTCCGCCTCGAGTCCAGTCGCCAACCCCATAAACCGTACCCATGTTCATAATGATGCCCACACTCACACCCGATGTCCCGGTCGGGCTAGCATGTCGTCAACAACCCTGTCTCTCCAAATATCAACTCGCGTTATGCATTGCATACTTACTTCATCGCCGTCTCATGTGCATCTTTGCTCTTGTACGGCTGGGGCCTAGTTTGGCTATTAAAGCTGCTTTGTATCACACCGCTCAAGGTTTTCTGTCAGACGCCTTCACATTGCCCTGTGTACAACAACACAGGACATGGCCAGGTCAAGGTATTGAGCCTATCTTCATGTTGTTACCCGACCGATGGCACCGTATCCAACTCCCTTCCTCGCTCGTCCCACCAACAGTGATAGGTAACAATGTGGAAGCCGAAGCCGGCCTCTCCACTACCCTTATCCTCCAATGGTAGTTCCCCAGTTATTTGATGATAATCCAAGGTCACTTTTGATACTCCTTCATGCCGCTTGATTGGTTCGTTGATCATAAAAGAAAGAGTTGCCGGTCCTCCCAATGACACCCTCCTTTGTGCTGTCGTGGAAAAAGTGTGGGTGTACTTGCGACACAAAGCGATGATCAGGGTCCTTGAAGGGTCCAAGAGAGGGAGGCTGGCTTGGCTGGGTCCCGAATTGGCACATTGACAACCTTACGCCCACGACATTTTGTGCCATGATTGCTACCCCACATCTACTCATACCCAGCAACACTTACCCTCCTCATTGTGTACATACACTACATACATACATACATACATACAGTATATCTCTAGTGTACCTCCCTCATATCTTCCCATTCGACCCTCAGCGCCCGCAGCAACAATAAAGCATCCTGTCTCCGCAGTAGGGTCTTGTGGAATGCCCTTGTCCGTCGTTATCATTCACCTCTTTTTTTTCCACATTCACATGTTCTCAAGCGAGGATCAGTCATACAGCGATTTCCATGTACAACGAGCTTGGTGTACAGCAGACGAGGCCGTTACATCTTCCCCAATACAATCAGAGCTGCTGCAGAACCAGAGAAATTATATTTCTGGGTGACGAGGCACAAAAAGGACAGGCTTAAAGTTAACAACTGTTGGTGCTATGCATTGGCAATAATGGGCCTTTGGATGGTTGCAAGTGCATTTCCCATTTCAATAGCAAGTAAGCCGACTCGTTCAAATTTACAAATTAACAGATATTTACATATATACACCCGGTTCGTACGGTATCAGTTCTCTTCCAGTCCTTCGCAGTGGATATCGAGCGCAGACGGACGTGCATGGTGTCTGTCTGATCGCTCAGCCGCATGAGCTATAATAGGGCAACAACGCTGGCTCCTGTACATTTTCGTATGCTTCCTGACCAGTATCACCTTCGGCCTCACACCGCCGAACGCCCTCTATCACATCGCCACCCGTGGGTCTTCCCGATCGGTTCCAGGTGCGCCCCCCTTCCGTGATTCTCGGCTTGCCTCTGGTACCGGACATAGTTACACTACTGTTCACACAAATTGTCCGGGTTTGGCACCCAGACTTGTTAGTGACGTGCTCGGGCTGCTACTCTGCCAAGACTTGCCCCTTATTCTCGCATCACCACGTTTATGCGTCGATTTTTGCAGCGACACATAGTTTCGTGCGTACCGGATGCCACACGTTCATCCCTTCTGTAAACTGTCAAGTCTTTGGTATTATCATTCGACGTGTCCTTGGTTTCACCGCTTCTATAGGCTGAATTGCTCGTGTTCCTACCCCGTCGTCGGATAAACTGAACCCCTTCCGAGTTCTGAGCAGACAGCAACTCCCAATTAAACTCGAATTGCTCCTTCATGGACGTGAGAATATCATTCTCTCAGGTATCATTCATAACATCATTCTGAAAGGCACGGCGTCCTTCTCTGGCCCTTGCCACGGGGTGTCTTCTGGTGCAACCCACTCCCGTTCCCGATCCAAGATCTCGACCATGTGAAAGTCACGGGCGCCAGGTCCCCATCGAACGACCTGGTACAGAAAGTGGTTGACTTCTACAAAGTCAAGGCTCGGTTGCACCTCGAAGAAGTCTTCTGCAAGAGCCACCATATTTTCGAAATACTTTTGGCGCTCTAGAACCTCCAACGAGAGGCAGAGTGGAGGATAGTACTCTGCCAGGTGAAAATGGAAATATTTGAGCTTCCGAAGATGCGACAAGGTGTCTTTGAGGGAGGGGACCAGCTTCGTCCAATCGCCCGGCGTATTGAGTTCAAGTCGTCGGAGGGAATTTGCGGGGTCCGGCTGCTTTAGGAGATAAAGCAGTGTGTACAGGCTGTCATGGGAATTGACGCGGTCGGTCCAGTCGAAAATGAGGTTCTCGGCCCGCGAATTTGGGATAAAATGTTCGAGTCTACCTAGCGAGACTTGACAAGCGTATTCAAGAAAGTTGTTTCCGATAACCCAGTCGTGCCATCTGCGGGACTCTTGAGTACAGGCTGGTGATATGGTCAGTGATCGCAGTCGCGGGGCGATGACCGGAGTGAAATTCGGTAGGCGGATGATATCAAGGCGCTGAGCTTTGGTCCACTCTGGCATCATCTCGACATGCAACCGTTCGAGATATTGAAGATCGGTGAGTTTCTCCAAATAGAGAGGTTTCTGGCGATTGCCAGTGTATCTCAACGAGTCTTCAGGGAGATCCGGATCGGGGATATCGAGGAGGAACCGAATCATCGAGTGATGATCAACGGTCACTTCTTGGAGCTTGAGACGTGGTATATTCGCCCGTTCGTGGCCGTCCAGAGACCCCCAGCCTCCTTTGCTTTCCTGCGCAAATCTCTCGCAGATAAAAGGCAGTATCCCATAGAGGCAATGGCCTGGCGATTCATAGCATGGGTCTATTTCTGCATCTGGGCCCCATTCAGTGGTCATCAAGCGCAACGTCTCCATGTTGGGGGAGTTGATCAGAACCGTGGTGATGGCTTCGACGTATTCGTCCCAATAATCCGAAAGGTTACGAAGACTGAGCTCCTTAAGCCCACGAAATCTACGGAGCTCAGACGGCACATGCTCGATCCCTAATCCACTGTTGCAATACAGATCGAGGACGGTGAGACGGGGTGCGTACTGAGACAGGGATCTGAGGAGATTGGGATATGGATCCATCCTGAACATATGAAAAAAAATTTTGTCAGCCTCATCTACCACAAATGGTTGCATCTTCACGTCGTCTTTGGCAGTCAATTTTATGGCGGAACTTACGAAGAACTCACCAACCCATCTAAGACATTCTCAGTGAAATATTCATCTTTTGATCCCCACCACTATGACGAGTTTTTTTTTTAGAATATCACCGATAAGGTTGCGTGCATAGAGATGACGGACATGTCTCAGAAAAGGCGAAAGCTTTTGTCGTGGGGCCATCAAGTCCTTTAAACGCTGTGAACTGCTAAGGATGTAGACGCGGAAGAGAGCACGCTCAAAGGCGGCGGCGAAGGCCCAGCTGGTGAGACGAAGATTCTGTAGGAGGTAGCGATCTCCAATCTGAATGAAGGGGATTTAGACGACCATCAAAAGGAATGACCATCAACACGGCAAATTGAACAAGAAGATCATCGAGAGGAAGGGAAGGGGTGGAAACGGAGAAGAGGAATAGGTGGGAGCGGAGGGAGGAGAACAGGTACAAAAGCTAGGCAAAGAGAAACGAGAGGCAATGAACAGAACAGATAAGATGACCTTACCACATCGCCTAGGCAGAGCAGGAGATCACGATTGTTGATAAACTTCTTCATGGAGACGCAGTCCGGGGACCAAGCACTTCCTCCTGGTATGGAAGCCATTGTGCAGGCTGGAAAGGTGTCTCTCGACCAGGAATCGTACGTCGGCCTGTACCACCCCGGAAGAGTTGAGAGATCAGCATCGGGAGACAATAACCCACGAGGCAACCTCGTGTGACGAGACGAGGTATAAGGGCATGCCTCACCCTCCGCGGTTCCTACCTCTGGAAAGGACGCGAGATGGAATGACACAAGATCGTCAGTTGTTCCACTCCTTGCTCATAGGTCCTCTTCCAGGTTATGTTGTTTTGTCTGATAGCGCGATGGAACTCTTGAGGTTGCTTCAAGCAAGTAAGCTCGAGCGGTGTTATATATATGTCAGACGCAACAATGTTGTTGTTCTTTCAGACGCGATGTGTTGATTTTGCTCCTTTGTTATTTGTTAGCGGGTCGTTAGCGGGCACACAGCCTGCTATCACTTATACCCAGCGCCCCAGTGACACAGAAGATTAGTTGACTCATAGAGAGCCAATTTACAATTTTTTCTTCTTGATGTTCTTATAAACTTACCATTAGTACTCATGGCTGTTACATTTGCTCTGAAGCGTTTGATCCCAAGATCTTTGGTCTCAGTTTACTACAGACCAGAGGTGTTTCCTGTTAGGGCTCATTGTTGCTGAAACCCAATCAACATCCCAACAGTTACCCGCCGTAGCCAATGGCCAATTGGCGTGCCTTCCCGCCATGTCATAGCGTGCCGCCGCCGCCGCCGCTCGGTTTCCCGGCAGCGTAGGAAGACCCGCGAACGAGCAATCTGCAGTCCGATACCAGAATAACGTTGGCTTATGCACAAGCCACAGCAATCTGTTAAAGATTCATCTTTTCTAGTTAAGCTGGACCGTTGTAGCATGGATGCACTCAACCTTCGTCTTTCTTTCCATCCCCAAGTTCCAAGCGCAAGTACCGAACCATGCGAAAGAGGGGTTGTTCCTGAAACACCACCACCCGTTCACTCTCAATCGTCAGCCTGTATATACCCCGGATTTCACCCCTCAACCGTCTCACAACTTTTTCACGTCCTGCTTCAATCATCACCACCATCATTCCCCCAACCAAAAACATCTCGCGGAACTTCTCAAAATGACACGAAAACCCACCACCACCTCAAACTCTACATTCACCACCACCCCCTCCCGCCTCACCCTTCTCTGGCTTCTAGTCTCCCTCCCCCTCGTAATCTGGGACACCCTCTACGTCCTGCTTCGCCCACACACCATGCCGGGAGGCGCTCTGCACTACCCCCTCTGGGCACCCTACGAGCTATACGGACGCGTGGATTACGTGTACGGATGGAAGGCGTGGAACGAGCGGAACGGGTTCACGGCCGCGCAAGGGATGATGAATGCGCTGGAGACGGTGATGTATTTGGTTTATGCCTGGGGGGTGTTGGGGGGTGGAAATGGAAAGGGGGAGGGGAGACGGGGGGCGACGGTGTTGTTGGTGGGATTTTCGGCGGCGGTGATGACGTTGAGTAAGACGGTGCTTTATTGTGAGTTTTTTTCCATATTTCTTCCTGGAGTCTTGTGGATATGTGAAGGTGTAAATTGTGTGAAGAAGAAGAAGAAGAAGTTGACAGCGAGCGATATACAGGGCTTAATGAGTATTACTCTGGGTTTGACAACATTGGTCATAACTCGACGTTCGATCTGATCTTGTTGTGGATTATTCCCAAGTAGGTTCCTCCCACACCTGTGGTGATGAAACTCGTGCTGATTTTCCGTCAAATAGTGGCGCCTGGCTCGTCTTCCCATCTGTCATGATCTGTACTTTGGGTTCGGAGATTATTGATGGCTTGGCTGGTCCCTCGACTACGGCAGATCATTCTATCAAGGTCGAGTGAACTTTCTGCGGCCACGTCGATGGCGATGAGCCGTGGGAATACTATCCAAGAGAAAGTTTGAAGACTCAAGATGGCTTCAACATTGGTGGGATCCGTATGGGACAATCGATTGATTACTCGCTAGTCGACGAGACTGTTTCTGACTGAGCGCTCGATTGAGTCGCAGGACCTGGCCGCTGAAGACGGGGAGGTCTGCGGCAGTTAACGACCTGTCTATCAAGAGGACCAATCCCATACATAACAATCAGCTAGCGCGTGGGGAAATCAGTCCAACTCGATTTTCAGCTTTCTCGACGAGGACGCCGCGATTGGCTGGTAGTGACCTTCAGGACCCAGCTGCTGAACTAGAGTTAGTGCCCAAGCGGGTAAGGCCTCAAAGTGATAGCCTTGCTATCCTACTGTCTCTTGTCCTTCTGTCTTCTTTGCTTCTCTGATTTTTCTCTCTCCTACTTTGACTCCTTGTGACCATCACTCTTTTTCCATCTGCTTTGTGTTGAATCCCTGATTCCACAAAGCTCAGCCAACCTTACCGCCCAATTCCACATCACCAAACCCAACAAACAATGAACAATCGCAGTTCCCCTTGATTTGACCCCGAGACCTCAAGGCCCAATGGCACCGACACCCTACTATACGAGAGACACCCCAGCCTTCACCGGTTTCCAGCCTGAACCTGCTGGACGAGGGACAAAGGGAATCATCTGGACCTGCCTCAGCACCATTCTGCTTTCATCCTGGAGCTCATATCACAGCGATGGCTATAATCCAAACGAACCTTTCATGGAGGAGGCTGCAATGTCATACTTTTTGAAATTCACATTTGCATTCCTCTTCCCTGAGGTGGCAGCATGTCTTAGTTTGGGTAGTCTTTATGATGCCCTGCTACTTCGAAAAACAATACGACAAGTGGGAGGAGCAGAATTTGCCAACTTCAGCTTGAAACAAGCCTTTGTTTTCGTCATGGAAAGCGTATATCAAAGGCCGCACAGCTCGGAAGAGACGAAGGGCATAAGTCCAGAGACGCTTGTCGAGCTTGTGAGCAGCGGCAAGTTGGCTTTCTCGGGCTTGCCAACAGATGACGAAATTGCCGATAAGTCTAAGCGTGACTGGACGTTCAAATCACTCTCCATAATGCAGACATTATGGTTCATCGCCAGCATGATTGCCCGCTTGTCCCGAGGGTACCCTGTGTCTCTATATGAGGACATCACTGTGGCAAATGCTATCTGTGGCGTCATTGAGTTTTCGTGCTGGTTCCATTGCCCCCAGGACATCCGTTTGCCTTTTATTGTTGAGCTGGATATCTCTAGGGCAGCAAACGGTCCATCAACGGCAGTTGAGAGCGAGAAACCTGAAGGAGAAGCAACAGTTGAGGCATCATTACTTGTTTCCGAGCCCGTGACAACAGAATATGAAGCCTCGTCTGCACCTCAGTTGCCTTTACTCAAGGACATTAGCACGGATAGGCCGAACAGAGAATTGCCAAGCAGCGAACATCCCCTTGTTACCCAAAAGACGAAGAACCGTCGGGCTTCATTTGTAACGCAACCCGCCAACTTCCGGGGGGCACCAGACAAGGTGATGGTGGTTGTCTTCGCAGTCTTCTCGGTCTTGTTTTCCGGCATCCACATAGCTGCGTGGAACTACGATTTCCCATCAAATGCAGAGACATGGATTTGGCGAGGCAGTTCAGTTGCACTCACAGTATTGGGTCTCTGCATGTGCTTCATCTTTCTAATAGAAAGCATAGAAACAGGTGATTCGCTGGAGACGAAAGAGGAGTATATTTTGCTCATCGTGTTTACGCTATATGCTTTAGTCCGCACCATGATGCTGGGTATAGCACTCGCGTCTTTCCGAAAGGTACCCACAAAGATGTATGAAACTCCGTCGTGGACACAGTATTGGCCGCATATATGATGCGTTGAAAGAGACACAGCCAGAGGTGCTCGAAACATGAGGGATGGCGATCCTCGAAGTAATGAAAACGACAACGAAAAATGAAGTTGGAGAATGAGAAAGATGGAAGTGGGTAGGATATGCAGTCCTGGTGGAGGTGGAAGGGCGACGACAACCTAAAACCGGGCTCGAATCTAAAGTGGAATTGGTAGCGGAGGAGGAGAAGGATCACCAGGGCAGCCTGGAGATACAGGGAAGGAGTGCCGATGACAGGAAAGCCGAGTGACTAGAATGGACGGGGCATGGACCTCCAACGAACGTCCCTTCCCTTGGCGTCGGCATGGGTGATGACTGCTTCATCACCCGAGCACACTCACTTGCTCATGGTATGGACATATGGCGCGTTGAGTGCTGGTACTTTCTAGTCAGAAACAAAGCGCGGCGTATGAAGGAGTGGGGTTGATGTCTTTCCTTCGTTTCGGTTGGGGATGGCTTTTTCTTCGTGGTATCGTAATCGTGGTCATGGAAACAGACTCGACAACTTAAGCGTGGACTTTGTCGATCATGTAATTACTTCAGAGGTTGATCATCCAAGTAGCGCGAGGAAAACCAAAGTAAATGAACTTGTTTCGGTGGTGATTGCTTTTGTTCAGAGATAGGCAATATTGTTCGAACAGGCTCCAAAGTTCCTACTCCCCATGTTAGCCTCCCATCCCACTCCCTTCTTTTAACATCTGTTGACCAACCTCGTCAAGTACATGACCAACAACAAAAGCAAACCTCCCACGTACCTGATCACATATTTCATCTCATCGCACAGCATGGCCGTATGTATACTACCTCCATACTCTCTACCTTCCCTGGAAGATCGTCTTCCTTTTCCTGTCATCATAGCAGTAAACTTGCATCTGCTCCATCCCACCACTATGGAATCACGAAACCCTTTACAACTCGTGAGCCTGAACAAGTTAATTTGTGTGTAGCGATGGACTCAAAACGAGATCTGAAAGTGATTTAAAAAAAAAAAAAAAAAAAAAAAAAAAAAAAAAAAAAAAAAAAAAAAAAAAACATGCGGCGGGATACAAACAGCGGGATGTTTAAAATTGAGGCAATCGAGGCTTTGCGGTTTCCAGGGTTGAGTTCTGGGATTTGGATGATAGGGAAGGAAGGCAGAGTAGGGTAGTCATCAACTACTCGCCTTCTGTTTGTTGTCTCCTTCCCCCGGCAGCTTCAAGTCCAGGCTTTGCCTCCTGCTTTCTTCCTTCCTTGCTTCGAACATCGCTCGATGAGTTGATCGTTCCGCGGTTATCAACATCAATACTATATTCCTTTCAATAAACATTTGTACAATTCAATACTGGTTTTGTTTAACCGGTTTGTTTAGCTCTTCGAACGTAGGTAGAGCAGGACAGTTTTGGGGGCTCTCATATTAGGCCTTTAATAAGAGCGACTCTCCTCTGTCTAAAGCGATATAGGACGACGACGACGACGACGACGACAACAACAACAACAACAACAATTACAGCTCCGCGCGCGAGAAGGCACAGGACATCCAAGCTTCTCAATCGTTCTCTAGAAGAATCACCAAGCCTCATCAACCAAGCCACAGAAGAACGAGTTGTACTTCACTTTAAAAACCTTGTAGAACACGTACAGATAGAACATCAAAGGATTCAAAAGAAATCAAATCGACTCTGTTTATATATATCCTAGTGTTGTTCGCGACGGGCGCCCTTTTGGGGGACGTATACAACAACAAAACCAAGAAAGTCTAGGTCAAAGAGGTGGACGAAGGGAGTAAAGACGAAAGAGGTCCCAGCAACCGAAAAGTCACCATCATCCGAACACGTGGAAGAAGCTCAAGTTTTGTCAGGAGTGCCAGGATTGATCGAAGTGTGTACCGAAAGTAAAATCACAATGACGCGACATGGAGGGTTCAAAGACTCGTTTGACGTTAAAGGTTACCAACAGAAACAGAAAAACTGACCGAATCTGGAATATGGCCTTTATCTTCATTGTTGTCATGATCATTTATCTGTGCATTGGAAACACCCGTTTCCTACCAGAAAAGAACGGAGGACTTGGAGAATCTGTGCAGTTACGATGGCTATCAGTGGCCTTGGTTTCACAGAGAAACTTAACAAACCAAAGGATGACCGCAAAAGGATGACCTCATGGCTGCTCCCCCAATATGCATAGCTTTATATGTCTTGAGCCGCCTAGCAATTCTGGGCGTTGCGCTTTTGTCCTTCTGAAGTGTACCAGCGGGTATTTACGAGGTTCCAGGCTGGACAAGGTTCTGTCCGCATGTGTAAGAACTAGGGAGACACGGCAAACCCAGGAGCAATTTCGGCGGACTGAGACTTCTTAGGACTTCACTTAGGAGTCAGAACAGCTAGACCTTGTGGGCTGACATGGGGGATTTTCACAAATTGTTCACGAGCAGACCAATGTTGAAAAGGGAAACTTTGATTTTCGCATGTTTAATTTTCGACATTAATTGCTACAGTAAGAACGCTAAAACAAACGAAACCAAATCAAATGCTGGGTATCAAGATGAACTCCATAAATCTGGTAGAAAGTGAACACAGCAAGACAAGATGGGATAGGGCTTGAATTAGATATTCCGCAATGAAAACAAAGCAAATGAGTTGCCTCAGTGTACAGAAGAAATTTTGACCACAGACGGTGAAACGAGCCTTACCCGCGAGAGGTCACACTGGAACCTTCACCTCCAAGTCCCTCAGCCCGCCCACATCCGCATACTGTGCCCAGGGGTCGTTGCTCGTCTCATGCATAGACATGGTGCAATTGGCCTTGTTGTCACCTCTTCCAACAATGTCGAGAGAGGTTGCTGACTGAGTTTTCCGGATTCTGAGAGGATCAGGTTGGCACTCACTCGGTCTCCGTCGACTGCTTCTGCGAGGGAGCGGAGGTGCCAGAGCGTTGCTTCCTAGTGTCACACCGCGCATCAGTTCTTCTCCGGTTACCAGGGCTTTTGGTGATGTTGGTGAGCTGCGGAAGCTCGGCGCTGTCGAAGACGCAGAAGCAGCCGTCTCCCTACTTGTCGTACTAGATCCGGTGGTGTTATTGGATGACGTAGATGCGGTCGATGGTGAGCGGAGCGTAATACCTTGCGTCCTAATACCCTGTTCTGGGATTTGGGTATCGGATGCCTTTGTGACGTCGGCAAGGGACTGAGGCGGTTCGTTGTCTATTGTTGGCTCGCTATAGCCAGGGTGGACATCGTTGGTACCATTCCCATATCCTTGGATTACGATCTCGTGGTATGAAGCACGCCTGCTGCGGCTGGGTGAAGTGGACTCTTTCTCTGCTGGCCGGTTCCCAGTGAATGCGTTAAGAGAATGACTGATACTCTTGGTGAGACTGTGAACTCGGGTTGGAACAACGGGCGGGGACGTCGATCTGGGGTTGGTTGCGATCCTACTAGGCGTCCTAGCATGTATCAACGCGAAGTGGTCAATATCCGGTCTGATCTTCCTGTCTTCGCCGTAGGTAAACACCGCCGGAAATGATGACAGAATGAGTGGCGTGGGAAGTGAGAAGTTTGGCAGCGACTTGAAAGATGCATAGCCATTTTGTCTTGTTCCCCTTGAGATTCGAGTGCTGAAGCTTGACTCATAGTCGTCCGCATCCCAAGGCGGTAAATTTTCGGTACTGACGGCCATGTTGTAGTATGTATTTGCGACGTTGTGGCATTCCAGAGGAGCCTGTGTGCAGGCTCGTAGTACTTGATAGATTGCATAGACGAGAATCCATCGAACCTTTCGCGCGTCAACTTGCGAAATCTTCTCTTGTCTATCGATCTTAAGAGGCGAGAACACGCAGTCTTCTTCGTATCTTTGATAAGCAGTGACAAGTGGATTCCTGCAGATGGTGGCTTTGCTTCTGTTGGATGCTTTCGCCAGTGCTGCATGTGCAACTACCCGTTGGTCTGGCTTTAATTTGTCGGATTTATGCAGCCAGGAGGTTCTTCGAGACGCGCTGGTGGTAGGTAATTCCGGCAGTAAAGGCAGGGGGTGAGGAAGCGGAGAGTACCTATTCCGTACGTCAAAGCCATGGACACACTGGAGAGTACACAGTCCCCCTTGAGCAGAGGCCGGTATGCTTTCTGACGGGGTATATGTGTTATCTACCAAGAGCTCGTACAAAGCTTCGATGTCATCTCGCATCGTTTGATATATTGCGGGAGGGAATATCAAGTACCGCTGGTCGATTGATGTTGGCGGGTAGTATCCGATCTTGGTAGCGAAGAAAGCGTGGAGGAAGGTTCGGAAACGCTCAAGATGAGACCGTCCGCCGACCGTCAGACCTAGATGAGCCTGGGATAAATCCTCATCCAGGAAGTTTTGCAACATCAACGTAGCTTGTCCAAGTTTCTCATCCATTTCGGCTTTTGCCTGACGAAGAAGCCTTCGAGTTGCAGAAGTGATAACCTAGCTAACTAGTTAGCTCAAGACTAGACGACGCTGAAGTAGTTGTGAGGAACGCTTGCCTGATATTCGGGGACAACGTATAGCTCTTCAAACATTCCGGTGCAGTGGGTGAATGCCTCAATGTAGAGCCTGCGATCTTGACAGTACTCCGCAAATTGAAGCATACCTAAGGCATGTGCTGGTTGATTACACATTTCCAGATAACCTTCTTCGTCGGCGTAGCTCAACAGGTCGTCCGCATTGTTGACCCCGAGACATCGGAGCTCAGTCATTGTGTGTAAAAGACGAATGAGGGTTGCTCCAAGATGTTCCCCCGCCATCGATCTCCGAAAAATCCAGGCAAAGAAATTGCGAATATCCAGGTAATGACGAATGACCTCTGCTTCGGTTGCCGTAGGTGGAGCAGGAATGTAGAGCTCGATTTGGCTGGCTTTGATGTCTACTGTTTCTGGGATATCTCGTCTGATACATCTTGCGATCAGGGGTTGACATTGAGTTGCAAGCAAGGTGTTGAAGGGCACTTTGAACGAAGGGCTCCGACTCGACTGGCCACGGCCATATAGATATACTAAGCAATTGCCCTTGCGATGCCATAGCTCCGGGTCCTGGCTATAAGTTAGCCTTGTTATCACTCGTTGACTTGACATTCTCCGCTCAGGCATACTCTTTTCCATAAGCAGTCCCACGGTTGGGAAGTCCTAGAGGCACCGTCCCACCGCTTAAGATCCGGAACTCTTGCTCGTCGTCTGTCGTTGAGACTGCCAAACCTAATGCTCTTCCCAATTTGCGGCTGGGATCGAGCCTGGTGAAATCGTCCTCCGTCCGACCAGGATCTTGGTATACCGCATTGTGCCATGGTAGACCCGCGCGTATCGTTTCGAGCTGGTGTGAAGACCGGAATCGAAGATCTGGCTGGCATGCACGTTTGCCTTTTCCCTCTTACACTGGTGGAGAGTTGTCGTGGGAGGCCAGGGAGTCCGCCTGCTTAAGTCATCGCGGGGAGACCCAGGTAACCCCAGCCGTCAAGACCAGAGACAATGCACGTCTGCCGAAATACAAAGTGCATGTTGTGTTCCACAGCCTCGACCTTGGTTGATGGACTCAGACGGGATGCACAACAGCCTAACCCGAGGCCTTGGCTCGACGTCAATAGGCTTTACGTACGGCTTGTGTGGCGAACTTGGGCTCAATGGCCGATCACCTTTGTGATTAGCATGACGGACTGCTGGCAAAGGAGGAAAGAGATGAAGCGTCTTCCGGCTGTGCAACGGCTCGAAGAGGCAGTCGACGTATGCACTCCTCCCCGTCCAGACGAACCAGATACCCTGCCCTTTGCATATTCAGCTCTCCTCTTGGGTGCGCATGCGGCTGACCAACACCCAGAACTACCTGTCTCTGGCCCGTGCCATGGCCACTCGGCCTTTCTGGAGCCGCATCCAGACTCAGGACCCAGAGCTGAGGATTGGGTGATAAAGCAGGGGCTGATAGTGACATGTACACAGTAGTGAGGAAGATGACAGGGCTGCGTCAGTGAAAGCAATGTGGTGCCACTCAAGACCAGGTCGGGAGTCGGCGTGGGGAGGTCCACGGAATGGTCGAGTTGGATGACGGCGGAGTATTGGCTATCGCAAAGCTGATCGCCTTCTTTTGGCGCCGTATCAAGCCAGTCACTATAGACGCCACAAGCCATGATGCAGATGATGGGATGTCGTGGATCCTGCCACCGGTGCCTCTTTTATCTTGGTTTTTCTCGCCTTTGGGCGGGTTTTAGTCCAGCTTATCAATCTCTTGGGGTGGCATCCCGCCGTCTGGGTCGTGTCTCGGATACCGGATGATAGACGACGCCGACAGGACGGGGAAACAGGAAGTTCGAGAGCAGCAGAAAGCCATTTCTAGCAATGGAGGCGTCTCCTTGTTCAAGGTGGACAGCGCGGGCAGCAGAGAAGGAGGTCAGCGTTTGAAAGAGTCACAGAATACAATTGAACAGGTAAATGATACGGCCAGAAGAAACGCATGGATCATTGATAAGTTGAAGGTGTCCAGTCGTGGTCTCAAGGTGCTTCTGCAAAGTGTCACTGTTTTGTGATGAGGAAAGAGATTGGTAGACTCGAAAGTGAAAAGAGGCCCGGGAAGTGGAATGTGAAAGAAAGAGGACAGCAGTTGGGAGCTCAAGGGGCATGGATATGCTCTTGTTACGGTGGGGGTTAGGGATATGTGTGTAATCGCATATTCTCCCCCGCAATGGAGGAACTGCTGGACTGCCTTCTGCCGTGTGCCCTAAAGCTGCCCACTGGACCTCAACTTTCAGGCGTTATCTCTAGGAGCAAGGGTACTCCAGGTCCAAACGCGTCAGGCGCGTCAAGAGAAGCTCCAAGTCCCCTCCGGCCTCCATCTCTCCCGCCACACCATCGGACATCCCTCCCTCCCTCCCGCTCCCCCATCCCCCACCTTGCCCGCGCTGCCGTCCCACTCCTTTCTTCAACGATGGACATCGATTGAAGCATCCGGACTGGACTGGACTGGACTGGACTGGCGCACACGAACAACTCAGGCCCCCCTCCCCAGCCGAACCCAAGAGACTCTGCATGCATGTTTGGGAACAACAGACTCCCCGCTTTCCACCCAGGCCTCACCCAAAGCCGAATCAGAGACACCACAACCGGCAGTGGCTTGTGGTTCCCCGGGCTACGATCACCACCACTACCCTCCGAATCCGATCCCGCCAATGACCAGCTACCGCTACCAATAACACAAGAGGACCTCTACGACACTCCCATGGCGCCCTTCAATCCTTACACCTATATCCGGTGTCCCTGCTCAGAGCTCAACCCCTACACCAAGAGGACTCCCGACGTCACCGCCCAAGGCCTGTCTCGCGCCGCTCAGGATGACGACGACCACACCTTTGACCCTCGTGCTGCCCGGTCCAACTACAGCCTCTATCCGCTAGAGTATCTCTCCTTCTGCGAGGACTGCCACCAGATCCGCTGTCCACGATGTGTAGCCGAGGAAATTGTTTGCTACTACTGCCCCAACTGTCTGTTCGAGGTGCCGAGTAGCAACATTAGGAGCGAGGGGAGCAGGTCAGTGATGCCGCCTCGTCTACCTACTTCCTCACACTTGACTAACATGGAACTTTTCTCCTCAGATGTACCCGAAGTTGCTTCCAGTGCCCAATATGCATCGGGCCCCTCGCTGTGAACCACGTCGAGACACCACCAGACCCAAACCAGCTGCTTAGTCCAGACCATGCCTCTTCTTCCCACTCGGGCTCTTACATCTTATCGTGCTCTTACTGCAACTGGAGCTCTACCGAGATAGGCATCAAGTTCGACAAGCCGAACAGCATCCACATGCAACTGGCCAAGCTACGAAACGGCGGCGAGACGAGGTTGACAGCGAAGGAGCGCAAGGAGCGACGGAAGGAACAGGCCTCCCAAGGCGGCGGTGGTGGCAGCAGCACCGGCCAGGGAGAAGAAGACCTAGATACCCTCTTGGACATGGAAACCCAGTTCGCCAACCTCAAGTCCTTCTATCAGAACCAGCTCTCCGACGCCAATGGTACCGGCAAAGTCGGCGGCGACCCCTCCGCCGCCCTGGGCAACCTAGGCTTCGACGCGCCCGCCTCTCTCTCCCGCATCATGTCGCTCTACACCGGCTCCTCCTCGTTGCACGACAAGAAATCCAAGTCGCGACCGGGCACCATGCGCGAAGCGCTTGCTCCCTCTGAAGGTCTGCAACTAGCCTCGCTCGATGAATCCAGCGCCATCACCGCCCTCCAAGACTTTGAATCCACCACCGGCCTCGATGCCTACTCCTCCACAGCCTCCACCTCCCAACTTCAGTCCCAAGCCCCTTACCTCGGCGCCTCGCCCCTCCACGGTCTCACGCGCTTCACCTCGTCGCTGCGTCCGATTCCCTATCTCTTGCGTACCAAGCGTTCCAAGCGCTGCCCGCAGTGCCGCCACATCATCAGCAAGCCCGAGAGCAAAGTGACCACGACGCGCTTCCGCATCCGTCTGATAGCGGGTAACTACATTCCGACCATCACCATCAAGCAGCTGATCATCCCCGGCCTGACCCCGCCACCGATGCCGAACCTACCACCGGATACCATCGAGCCTTTGAAGCCGGCCCAGTTCGTGCTAACCTTCAAGAACCCCATTTTCGAATCCGTACGAGTTACCTTGGCCACACCAGCCACCACCCCCGGCAGGTTCCCTGCCAAAGTCACCATTCTCTGTCCGCAATTCGATATAGACTCCAACACGGACGTCTGGGAGGAAGCGCTCAAAGATAACAACGCCACATCTTCATCTTCTCAATCTCAAAACCTCTCCAGCTCCACAGGGCCCGAAGGTTCAGGCCCAGGTGGTCGTAAACGCGCAGGCACGTTGCGGCCGGGCACGGCGGGGGGGGCAAGTCTGGCCGGGGAGGAATTGGGACCGGAAGTAGGCAAAGTGTGGGAGAGGGGCAGGAACTGGACGAGTATTGTGATTGAGGTGATACCCGCTAGTCTGGTGCAAACGGCCAAGAGAGATGGAAGGGGACCGATCAAGGAGGATGAGGATGTGCTGGAGATACCCATGTTTGTGAGGATCGAGTGGGAGGCGGAGGCACCCGAGGATGAGATTATGCCCGGGTTGAGTAGCGCAAAGGGAGGAAATAAGGATGGTGGGAAGGAGAAGAGGGAGTTGGCGTATTGGTGTGTGCTGGGGCTGGGGAGGGTTGCAAGGACGTTGTGAGACGGGGTCTGTGAGCGGTCATGATAAAATGAGTTTTACTGGATTCGGGGGGTTAGAGTCAAGAATGATGTTTACGATTGAAGGCACGGTTCAAGGGTATCATATGTATGACGGCGTTTAAAAGCATGTAACGACCATAGAAATTGCAGGACAAACACACATGGCATGGGACATACATGACGAGCACATGATCGCAAATATGGACAAGATGTATCCCACAATCCATAACGCAGTAGTATTTGAATGTTGGCATTGATAGCGCACAACACAAGGGATAACAGGTAGTAGGGGGAAACCCATGCCTGCCCTTTTTCCAGAGACAAGCTAGCTAGACGCCGTTCCTATTGTACTGCCATGCATGCATTGCAAGAGAACCGAACCCGAATATCATCTGAGCCCTAACCCGATAATCACCCTTGAAGTGCTCCAGCCCAGACACTCAAACGCCCATTGCGTCCACCGTTTAGTACTCAGCGGAGACGAGGGGGAACTCGAAGAGGACGTTCTTGCCGGTGAGGCGGCGGTAGACGGCGGAGTAGGTGTCGAGGCGGTAGTCGACGGAGCCGCGCTCCTTCTCGTCAAGGATAACCTTGAGGGTCTTGGAGCCGTCCTCCTTGACACGGAGACGCTTGCCAACGATCTCGACGGGGTAGACGAGGTCGGTGAGGATGGCGTCGTGGACGGCAGTGAGGGTGCGCGAACGGGGACGCTTCTGCTTGAGGGTGTTGCGGGAGCGGCTGGAGCGCTTGGGGCGGGGGAGGATACGGCGGGAAGCGACGATCAGGACGTGGCGGTCAGAGAACTTCTTCTCGAGCTCACGGGTGAGACTGAGGGGAGGCAAGTTAGTATCACTGCAAGGTTTGATATCAAGAGATTGGAACTTACCGCTGCTGGACGCGGTGGAAGCCCTGCAGGGAAGGGACGGGGACAAAGATGACAATAGCCTTCTTGCCGTGGCCAACCTCGATCTATTCCAGACCAAAAGTCAGCATGCGAGCTCCAGGATGACCATGGGGATATCAATCCTTGGACCGCTCCCGTCCTATTCCGCGGCGCGCTGTATGGTATTTCTGATGTGTATATGGTCTCTGGGCGCGAGCAAGCAACAGACACACGCCTGCAAGTGCCCATGGTGATTTTGTGTCCGTTCTTCTCAGGATTCAATCATCATGCACCCTCTGGGCACCGCTGCTGCTTGTGCCTGGCTGCCCGCCCCTTTCCAATATTCTCATATCATATTTCCCAGAAGCGACTTTTCGGCTCGAGGCGAAAAACGTGGTGTGTCTTTCTCGCTCTCGTGGTGTGCGCCGACGCCGGAACAGGAACTCGGAGAGTCTTCGGTTTTTATTTTTTCGCGGTGTCGAGATTTCATACCTCGCGGGCAGAGACGAACTGCAGAGGGCGGAGAGCAGCCTTGAGGTCGGCGGTGTTGGACTCAAGGTCGTAGAGGGCGCCAGCGACGGCGGTCTCAAGCTCAGAAGGGTTCTGGCGAGAGGGGCTGTTGGCCGCGATCTTGTTGAGCTGAGGGGCAGACATTTTGGCGATTGTCGATATCGGGTCGATCGGTCGGTCGTCGTCGATTGCAAGAGTCTCAAGGCGGCCGTCGTGATGGACTGCGGGTAAGAAAAGTTGGATGGGTCCCAAGTTGCGGAGACACGCCAAGACGGGACTTAGGGCTCGTAAGCCCTCTCTCTGCTTATCGGTTGGAGGTGGGTGATTAGCAGATAAGGAGTGCCCGGGCCATCATTCCACTTCGCTGGCTCGATCGAAACAGGCAGGCGGTGTCAATTCCCAGATGGGCAGAATATCCATCTATTTCTTGGACCCCACAGCAATTGAATGGCCCAAGCTCCAATCCGCACGCTTCGGGCTAAAGACAGAGCGAGGTGAATTGGTTGATTGCACCAAAACCACACCCACCACAGACAAGGTTCATGGCTGCGTCCCGTCAGTCAGTCATCAGCGCAACCTCCTCCTCCAACGCGCCCCAACACACGCGGCCAGCAACAACTTGACGGCGTTACGAGCTCACAGTTACTTCCATCGGAAATGGCTTCAGACAAACAAGCTCCTGCTGGAGCAACAGCAGCAAATCAACCTCAAGGATCCGCATTCTCCCTCCCGCTCCTCTACCGCCTCTTCTTCCTCCTCATCGAACCTCTCTCCGCCCTGCTTGGCGCATATTACGCCTACTTCGACAAAAAGGCCTACCTCGAGCTCACGCATGCCGCCTCGGCTCCTGAGACGATTCCGCTGGGGACGTCCATCGTGCTCTCCCAACTCGCCAACTTGTATCTCTTCTTCGCCATAAATGAAGCCCTCGTGCTGCGGTCAACCTCGGACATTCGCGTCTGGAAGACTGTGCTCTTCTGTCTGTTGATTGGCGACATCGGACATCTCTACACGGTTCGCGAGTTGGGACTGAACATCTACTGGAGTCCGTCAACGTGGAATGCCATCGATTGGGGCAACATCCCGTTCGTCTACCTTGGCGCATCGATGAGGATTGCCTTTTTGGCTGATGTGGGCTTGTATAAATCAGGGAAGAGGTTGCAGAAGAACAGGACGGCTTGATTCGGGAGGTGATAGGAACTGTGGCTAGATAAAAGGCGTGATAGCAGATTGAGCAAGTCCAACAATTAAAGTTTTTGGAATCAAAAGAGGCGGATCGATATACATCTGCCACGAGCTAACCTTGACCAAGCTTCCGTGAGCTTGGAGAGCTCTTCTGCTGTTGAACAGGTGCACCTCTGCAACTTCAATGGTCATCGAGGTCACCAAAGCCATCGATCAGCAAGCACAATGCGACGAGTTGATTCGTGGATAAATAGAGTTACACCCTGAGCCCCTTTGGCCTTAGCTTCCTCTCTCCGTGGGGCTATTACTCAACCCCCAATGAACCCTTTCCTCAGAAAACGAGACTTATACCCGTATCTATCGCGGGGCATGGCGGGGGGAGACCCCCCATGATGAAGATATCTACGATATTCCTCCTTACATCAGATGATTCAGCTTGTCGCTTTTTTCTCCAGGAGTAGGATGGATCCGCCAGAGTGGGTAGGCATCCCGCGATATTTTACAGAAAATGGGAAAAGCCGCGGGAGGGGGGGGGGTTATGTCACGTCCGGTATGGTACGCTTTCCTAGTGACGATCTGCCCCCCTCATGGGCAAAAGATTTCCGAAGGGCATGCCCTCCAGCTGAACTGTTATAAGCAGGCAGTGGGAGAACACTCTGGCATGCTCGGTAACTTTGTTGCCGTGTGCTGATCATCCGCATGTCCGTGAGTGTATTTATAACTCGGGAATACCCAATTCTGTAGTCCTCCCAGTCGTGTTTGCTTGTTTTCTTCATACATCGTCACTTGCTTGTCGTTCTTGCTTCATACGTACACAATCTCCAACATGTCTGTCCCCGAAAAGTTCACCGGCTTCCAGGTCAACGGCCCCGAGACCTGGACCGAGTTCCACAAGAACGAGTTCCAACCCAAGCCCTTTGGCGACTACGACGTCGACATCAAGATTGAATGCTGTGGTGTTTGCGGTAGCGATGTTCACACCATCAGCGGCGGGTGGGGCGAGCAGAAGTTCCCTCTTGCTGTTGGACATGGTACGGTCCTTGCCCTACATATGATGCCTACCCTCCTATCTCTCCGTCAACCAGCTAGTGAACCTCAAGACTGACTGACTGATTGATTGAAAACCCATAGAAATCATCGGAACCGCCCTCCGCGTCGGTCCCAAAGTGACTCTCATCAAGCCCGGCCAGCGTGTCGGCGTCGGCGCCCAGTCCTACTCTTGCCTCGACTGCCGTCAGTGCAAGAACGACAACGAGACGTACTGTCGCAAGCAACTAGACACTTATGGCGCCGTGTGGCCTGATACCGGCATCGTCAGCCAGGGCGGTTACTCCTCCCATGTTCGCACCCACGAGCACTGGTTCGTCTTTTTTTTTTTTTTTTTTTTTTTTTTTCTCTCTCCCTGTCCCCTCCCTCTCTTTCCTTTCAAAAACCCCAACTAACACACCTTCGTCCCTACTGACAGGGTCTTCCCAATCCCCGACGCCCTCCCCTCCACCGTCGCCGCTCCCATGCTCTGCGCAGGTCTAACCGCCTACTCCCCTCTGGTCCGTAACGGCTGCGGCCCCGGCAAGAAAGTCGGCATCGTCGGCCTCGGCGGCATCGGCCACCTAGGTCTCTTGTTCGCCAAAGCCCTCGGCGCCACCGTCTACGTGATCTCGCGCACGCACTCCAAAGAAGCCGACGCCCGCAAAATGGGCGCCGACGGCTTCCTCGCGACTGCCGACCCCAACTGGAACGAAGAGCACATTATGACTTTTGATTTGATCATCAACACCGCCAACAGCTTTGAGGGGTTCGACCTGGATGCGTATTTGAGCTTGTTGGATGTCCATGGCAAGTGGGTAAGTGTGGGATTACCCGAAGATGAGGAGGGGATTCGGGTGCGGAATCAGACGTTCTTGAAGAATGGGTGTTTTTTCGGGAGTAGTCATTTGGGGAGCCGCAGAGAGACGTTGGAGATGCTGCAGCTTGCGGCGGACAAAGGGGTCAGGACGTGGGTGGAGGAGGTGAAGATTAATGAGGAAAACCTAAAGGGGGTGATGCAGAAGATGAAGGGCGCTGGGGGGAGGTATCGGTTTTGTTTGACGGGGTATGAGGAGGCTTTTGGAGCGTGAATGAGGAGGGTCTTTGGGGGACTGCGGAGTGTAGAATTAGATGAGGCAACTGGGAATGGGAAAGGGGGTTAAAGTCAAAAGAGGATAGATTTAAGACATCGTTAAGAAAGTACTTGTAATCACTTTACGGGCTAGAATGTGATATGAATGTTTTGGTTGCGATTTTACAACTTCCTCAGAATCACTTGATTGTGCTTCGAGACACTTGGCTTTTAACGATTATTTCCTAAGATTTTGGTATCAGTTCATGTCGTCAGGGAAGACGGGGGCGTCGAGACACTGGAAAGACTGACTTGCATTATGGTTAAGAGGTAGTAGTAATGGTAAGTTATCACTCACGAACCATTCATCATAACAACAGACGGATATTAACACCTGTCTAGTAGCTGTTGTCATAAACACGCTCTATCATTGCATCTCGCTGAGGATGTGTCTTGTCTAGAAACAGAAAACGCCAGAACCCCTTTCTATGCAATTGTCCACGCAACCCCAAGTCTATAAAACTCCATGCAAACAAATGTTCACCATATCCAGGAGAGAAGAAGCCAGAAAAGCAAACAAACTCTCCCCGGCAACGGCAGTTTAAACAAAGGCCCTTGTGGAGTGCGTGTCGTCCCAAGACCTGAAGGTGTCGCCACTAACAAAACTCCACGGTTCCACCTTGACCCCTGAGCCAGGGAGAGCCGCGAGACGTTCGCAGTTCGCAAAGCGTTAAAGCCCTAGAAAAAAATTAGCGAGAGATTCCCTATAGAGTGGTTGAGAGATGGAGGAGTTGATGCTCACCAAGTAACTATTAACAAGGGGTATATAAGGTATGAGTGTGTAGTGTGGTAGTAAAAAGACACCATCTACTATCTAGCAGTTACTGTTAAAAGATGAAGCAAACAACGCCGCGTTCCCAAAGCGATTTGAAATGCAACCACCCCCCAAATAATTTTTCCGTAAACCAGTCATTCATGCCCATCTTTAAACCTTTTCGTCTTTTTTCCGATTTTTTCGCACTGCGCTGCTGCTACTGCTGGTGCTGTGCCCAAATGCTAATGTTCATGTCATCAGAGGGGACGGTCTTGAGCGGTAACCAAAGTTGGTGATGTTTTCGTCGAACCGAAGGGTGTGCTGCTGACCCTGGGTATTGTGACTGGCCTCGAAACCGGTGGCTGTCACAGTAGTCCTCCTCTTAAATTGGATCCATGCCCTTCGCTGCGGGCAACTCCTATGCATCGTCATCGTGCTACTACTGCCTTTGTTTGTCGATAATTTAGAAGTGAGCGCCGTTGATACTCCCGTTGGCAAAGCCGGCATCCTGGAGGATCTCCTTGGTGATCTGGTCGAGGCAGCCGATGGCAGCGGCAACGAAGCCGAGGAAAGGGCGGGAGGGGTCGAGGACACGGCTGGTGTACTCGGGGTGGTACTGAACACCGACGTAGTAAGGGTGGTCCTTGATCTCGACAACCTCCATGCGCTCACCGGAGTCGTCCTTGCCGATGAAGATGAGGCCAGATTGCTCGAGCTTCTCGATGTAATCGGGGTTGACCTCGTAACGGTGACGGTGACGCTCCTCGATGGTGGTGGCCTCGCCGTAGAGAGCGCGGAGCTTGCTGAACTCAGAGCCGGGCTGGAAGTGAGTGGAACGGGTACCGAGACGCATGGTACCGCCAAGCTTCTCCTTGGAACCCTCGGGCATGAAGATGATGACGCGGTGCTCGGCGTTGGCGTCGAACTCCTCAGAGGTGGCATCCTTGAGCTCGCAGAGGTTGCGGGCAGCCTCGATAACGGCAACTTGCATACCAAGGCAGACACCGAGGAAGGGGGTCTTTTGCTCACGAGCCCACTGGGCAGCACGGATCATACCCTCGGTACCACGGTGACCGAAGCCGCCAGGAACGAGAATGCCCTTGGCGACGCAAACATCGTGCCAAGCCTTGTGGTACTTGGTGGGATCCTCCTTCTGGGTCTTCTCCTCGAGGTGCTCAGAGTCAACCCAGATGAGGTTGAGCTTGCGGCCACAGCGCATGGCGGAGTGCTCAAGAGCCTTGATGACGGAAAGGTAAGCATCGTGAAGTTCAACGTACTTGCCGACCAAGACGATGTCGACGGTCTCGGCGTAACCGAGGGGAACAATCTTCTGCCACTTGGCCCAGACCTCCTGGCCCTGGCTGACACGGGCAGGGGAGAGCTTGACGTCGTCGAGCTTCAGGGTCTCCTTAAGTTCCCTGAGCAGACCCTGCTCCTCAAGGAGAAGAGGCACCTGGTAGATGGTAGGCATATCGCGGACGGCAAGGACCTGGTTGACCTCGACCTGGCAGCTGGAAGCGACCTTGTTGATGGTGCCCTGCTCAAGGGGCTTCTCACAACGGCACGCAATCTGCGGAATGGAGTTAGCAGGCAAGGATCACCAGACTACTGACGAGGATACTAACCAAGTCGGGAATGAGACCAGCACTCCTGACGCTCTTGACAGCGTGTTGGGTAGGCTTCGTCTTCTGCTCGCCGTTGACGACAGGGACGTAAGAGACGTGAATGTTGATGAAGTTGTTCTTGCCAGCTCTGTGACGGAGCTGGGTGAGGGCCTCAACGAAAGGCATGCTCTCAATATCACCGACAGTACCACCCTATTGAGGATTAGCAGACGCCATGACTGATGAATGGACAGTGGACCAACATACCAACTCGATGATGCAGACATCGGGCTCCTCGCCAGACTTGTCGACAGGTACCCTGGAGACACGGTTGATGGTGTCGATGATCGCGTCGATAACGTGGGGTACAACCTGGACAGTGCGGCCGAGGTACTTGCCCTTGCGCTCGTTCTCGATGACCTGCTGGTAGACCTTGCCGGTGGTGATGTTGTTGTCGCGGGCAAGGTCGACACCGAGGTAACGCTCGTAGTTGCCGAGATCCAGATCGGTCTCGCCACCGTCATGAAGGACGAAGCACTCGCCGTGCTCCTTGGGGTTCATGGTACCGGCATCAACGTTGATGTAAGGGTCAATCTTGATGGCAGTGACCTTGAGGCCAAGGGTCTTGAGAAGGAGACCGCATGATGAGGCTATTGATTTGTGTTAGTGGATTAAGCCCAGAAATAACATGTGATAAACGGGTTTGTTCATCATCATCGTATGCATCCTTGAGAGGATGTTGAGATGATGTCACAGATACAGGCCAGACTCATGAGTTTTTCTCTTTTACTTGGCATGCATCCAAGTTGAGTAACTCGATGCGTATGAGTGAGATTGAGGATGGTTATGGTGTTGAGAAGAGAGGAACTGCCTACCAATGATTCCCTTGCCAACTCCACTCACCACACCTGGAGGGCGCAGACAAGTTAGACCTTTGTACACATGAGATTATTATTTGTTTATTGTCTATGTTTACATACCTCCTGACACCAGAACGAACTTCATCTTGGGCGATGATGGCATTGCGCTAATGACGACAAGAGGGACCTTGGGTGGATTGACGGGCCACTCGATGGGATCGATACTGGAATAAGGAAATGAAGCGAGTAAAAAGAGTATGGACAGGCAACGGATGGAAAAGGGGATGTCGTCAACGGTGAAGTCACTCAAAGTTTGGTGTCGCTGTCGCCCGCGTGTTGCAGCGGGAAGAAAAAAAAATTGGGAATGGAGAATGGAGGGGCTCCAGCGGCGAACCGATAAGGTGCTCCCTGGCGCTCCGTGCACAGACCACTTTCCTCGCCGAGACTTTCACGGTCGCAAACTGAACCCGGCCGATGGATGGGTGGGCGACGCTGAGGGGAGTGCTGATACCTACCCGGGCCTTCACTGCCGTGGAACACTTCACTCTCCATCGATCAACCTGGCTGGCGCGCCTCATGCGAACGTCTCGGATCGAGAACAGGTCTGGAACATTACAGGCACCCATCAGGCAGCGGCCACCCGGTCTCAGGTTCAGTCCCGATCACGCCGGACCTGGCCGGACACACAGACGGATTTTGGATTGTCCGAGCGACGGGCGATCCAGGCACCGGCGTTGTGGGGTCACAGCGGTGCACAATCCGTCCCCGACCCGACCGCTTGTCGCCGGGTCCTTCCCGTTACATTCGGCAAACAGTCATCGGCCGTTGTGACGACACGTCATTACACACAGTCGGGTCACATGCCAAAATTACAAGATTCAGACCGATGACATGCCGACTCCAATTCAATCCCCCCACTCCTTATCTAGCGCTTTCACCCAAATAATAGGGTAACTACAACAACTTGGTATCTCCTCCCAATGATTGACGCCCGTAGTGCACAAATGCATGTCCATCATCAAAACAATAGCTCGCGACTGATGCGACCAGCACACCAGCCGCCATGATCATAAATCACAACTTCCACTCCAACTCATTTCCCTTGTCTCCCTCCCCTTCTTCCCTCAGACCCTCCCAAACCCATTCCAACACCCTCTCCCACACCCAATTCCCATCATGTTCCCTCTCCATCAACCCGTTCACCTCTTCCATCGCTTTGGGATCATTCAAATCCCACCCCCACCATCTCGCCGCATCTCTAATCTTTAGCTTGGCCGCCTTTGCGTCCTTCTCCGGATGTCCTTGAAACGTCAAGACGCTGTTATCGTGTGAGAGGAGACATTCATTGTTGGCGAGTAATTGGTGAAAATTGGGTGGTGTAGAAACAAGCTGTCGACGATGGTGTTGATGAAGTCTTAGCGAGCTCTTCTTTTCCTCTGCTTTTCCTCCTGCTGTTGATGGTGGCCCTCGGTCATTGAAAAATTGTAACCCGGCGGGGGTGAGTTTCGAGTCTGTTACTCCTAGCTGTTTACATCACATCAGGACATCAGTTAGCATTGCCGATGCCACTATTCCCTTTTACATCACCAATATCATATTGATAGAATTCAGAAGAACATACCTCAGGCAGCCTCATCTCCCCTACCTCCCCTCCCCCACCACCATCCCCAGCGTCTGATGTCCCCAACAAACCCCCACCATCTTCTTCCTCGGCCATTCCTTTCTCGTCTGCCGTACAAATTCATGCACCCTCAATATCCACGCATGTCTCTTTCTCGGATCAGCGTTTCCCCCTCCGATAACAATCAGGTCAAATTCCGCCGGATCAGGCAGGAATTCTTTCATCCTGCTGCTGCTTGTCCTATTAGCTTTTGCATCAACCTTTGTACCTCTGGTAGCCTCGCTCTTTGGACCACCATCAGACTCAGAGTCGTCCGAAGAGGACCGACCCCCAAACCCGTTCGAACAATCAGACGACAAGGCCCCGTCCGACAACTCCGCAGACCCCCCATTATTACCCCCGCCGTCGTTGTAACATCCGTCCCGCTCGTTGTGAGGACCCTGGGGACAGCAGTAAAAGTTGTCGGCTGGGTAGAAGAACGATAAAGCAGGCTGGAAGCGGCAGGTTGGGGATTGCGTTAAGGAGGCGAAGCAGCGTGTGTAGGAGTCGCGGATGGAGGAGATGTGTGGGGAGCGGTACGAGTTGAGGAGGATGGCGATTCGCAAGGGGATTTTGGTTGGTTGGTTTTCAGCTGTGTCGTTGGTGTTGTCTTGATTGTGGTTTTGGCGAGGGTTGACCTCGTGGTGAAGAGTACCTCTCGGGGAGTCGGTTGAGGCGGTCATGTTGAATGGCCGCTTGGATGGGTGGTGCTTTCCCTTTGTTTTTCTCGTAAGCAAGTCAAGTAAGTTGATGGCGCTGGATCGTGAAGTCGGGTTTGTAAAGTGGGGAGGAGGGAAAGCTTCTTTTTGAGTCTTGTTGCTTTCTTTCGTAAGCAGATGAATGATCGATCAGGGGGAGGCTTATAGCCGGCTATAGTAACCGAGTTACATAAAGTGAGTTTGATAGCTTTTGCCAATGCGTTGCTCCTTTAATGTATTCAGATCCCTACCTCTACTTTTCAGGCAAGCATTCATTCGATGCAAGAGCGACGAAGGCTGGGGGAAAGGGAACCCTTGTTTTGGAGCTGGGGAGAATACTTGGCAAGAGCACGGCAGTTAACACTTGATGATGATCCATCTCAAGTCACACCCAAGCACACCAAGCAATGGCTGAATAGGAGAATAACGAAACACGTTGAACAAGACCGATTCAGGGCGGACGGCCAAGCCCCGATTCTCATCCACTGGATGACGTTCCTTGGGGGTTCTGCACTAGTGTAGGGGACTTCTGGGGAATGTGTGAGTACAGTCCGATGCTTGTTTGTTAGCTCAGTACCCCTAGCAGTATATGTAATGCACTAGGACGAAACCTATCCCGTATAGTCCTGAAGCTTACAATGAAATGGCGAGAAAACCACAATAATAACACTAATACCACCACGACCAGCACGATGCATAAGGGCCGTAATTCTTAACTATCTGATTAGGTAGAGTAGTAGATGATTTTCAAGTCTTTTCGGATGGTCGAGATAGGAGGTATTAAGCTAGATACGACTTATTAGAATTACATATTTATTAAATAGTTTAATATTCAATTTTCGCCGGAAAACGAGGGTAACTATTGGATCTTTCTATATTTTTCTTTCGAATGCAAATAGGGATATAAATAAGTATTTTCCTAAGAAGGATAAAGGATTACTTAATATATTAAACAAATAAAAATAAATAATTAGCGACTATTAAAAATTAATTTTATATAACTAAGAATTGCTAAAGAGTTAGAAATTAATTATTTAACTTAACGAAAGGTTAATATTCTATTTATTTCCTATCCTATTTCTTTATATTCAATCTCCTTCTTTTTCCTATTCTTTTTCTACACTAACTATCCAAGTTTGTTCAATCTAGAAAGTACTTCCTTAATTTTATATACTTTGAAAATTTTTAAAAAAAATCACTATTAAAAACCAATGTATATATTCCCATATACCACCCTAAATTAAATCTTCCCTTTAAATCTACAACAAATCCCTTAAATAGATTTACTTTTATATATATATATATATATAATTAGTATTTTCCTTTATTATTTTTATTGCCCTTATATCCTTTCTCACCTTTAATAATTAAATATTTTTCTTTAACGTTTTTAATAAGGAGATAGTTATTTGTTCTTTAAATAATATCGTCCTAGGTTATTCTAATAAATTGTAAAGGTCCCTATAGTTTTGAACGAATATTTAGATTAAATTTTTCTTTAAATTCTATTATAATTTGGGAAGGGTTATTAGGATTATATTTAGGAAGGTTATCTAAGTCGTACTCTATACAACGAATAGAGTAGACTAAAGAGTTTACTATAAATTTATAGGAGTTAAAATTAAGTAGTACTACTACTTATAGTTAATTAGCTACTAGGCTTTAACTAGCAATAAGAATTTCTTTAGTTAAGTGAAAGCTCTTAGATCCGGATATTAGAGATGATCCTTACTATAATATAAATATAGGGTTTAATGGTGTGCGCCTGTATTAAGAGGAATTGGAGGGAGTAGATAGGTTCGAAGGCTTCCTAAAATTTAAAGGGATTAGTAATTAATTAATCCTCCTTACTTAAATAAATATCTATACTAAATTTATAAATAATCTTAAGGCACTTAGTAGGTTAATATTTTTTAGAACCGATAGAATTCTATTTTTTAATAATAATTTAAGAATTCCTATATTTCTAAGCGGAAAAGGAGTTTGTAATTGTATGTGATTTATTAGAGTATTAATAGAAAGAATTCTAATTTCCCTAGGAAGGTTAAATATAATTAGTATTAAATTCTAATATATTTAATTATTAATAATTAATTAAATAGAAGCGTTTTGTTTCTTAATTAAGTAAGGATTAAGAGGTAATAATATTACTAAATAAGACGAAGTTGGAATAGAAGATGGTTAATTCGTTATTTTTAAATTTTAAAAATGAATTATAATTTATTGAAGCGGAATTAGGGTTAGAATTGAATTTCGGGAAGAATTTAAGGGTAAATAAATATTATTTAAAGAAGAGATTAATTTTCTAACCTCTCTTTATTATATTATAAAAATAGGAAAAGAAGAATTAAATAATAAAGAATTAAATAATAAAGAACTTTCGTTACTATTTTCTTTAATAAGTCTAATTAATATATATTAAAATAGAAGAAGGTTAATTATAGTATTAAGGCTATTATATAGTTAATAGCGAGGAAAGATCTCTATACTTTTGAACCTTTATAATTAATTCTTTTTAGTTTAGGTAATATAATCCTTAGGCTATACAAAACACTAAGGCTTTTCTCTAGTACCGTATATATATTTACTTTATTAGGAGAGGATATTATTGGATCTACTATTAATTATAAATAATACTTCCCCTAAAGGATTCCTAAGTAGGCCTTTAGGTTACTATTACTTTATCTGTAAAGTATTATAGATTATTCTCTAATATTATTATACTATAACGTTCTCTCTCTATTCTTATTTAAATACTACACACTCTTTTAATACTATACTTTACTTCCAAGTTTTGGGTATAAGTATTTAAAAGTTTAAATTACATTCTATTAATTTTATTCGTATAGTTTCTACTACTATTAATTTATAGATCCAATCGGATTTTTGAATAACGAAGTTGATTTAACGAATAAGAAGACCTGGGTTAGACTTTATTACCCCCTAAATACTAAATCTTTGAAATAATAAAACCAAGGCTAACTCCATATTCTTTAGCATGGAACCATACAGATCAGAATCATAATAGTCCTATTAGCCTATAAAGTAGCTACCGAGGTTTTAGGGATATTCTACGGGCATTTAATAGATTATAATAATTTTACACTCGGTTAGAAATCTCCAATATACTTCTTAGGTAATATCTAATCCGTTGGCTATATAATAGTAGTTTAATAAATTAGTACCCGTTATATTTATAAAAGTATTTACACTACTACTCCATTGCTACTATCGACTGCGGGCATCGCTAGGCAGTAAGGAGAATTCTAGTTCGAAGCGACACTTTTTCTTTAGTATCCAAATATTCTTCTCCTAACAATTAAAAATAACCTTATACTCGGGAGATATCCCGTAAATTACTATTTAGGATTGTATTAAAAGTCCTAATTTCCTATCTTTAATAATTAAAATTAGTAACTTATTAGGAATAAAATCGTTATAATCTTCTTTATTACCAATAGTAATAATTATTTAGGAAGCGTACGTAGGATCCCGAAGTTGAAAGATTACTAATTTACCCTTTTAAATATTATTTACTATCTCTTAACACTAATTCTAATAATAATTACTACCGTACTAATAGTAATAAATTTAGTAGGAATCTCTACAGCTTTAATTCCCTCCTCTACCGCCTCTCCATCTACCTCTTATAAAAGAACCGCCTATATATCCTCCTCCTTCGTTAGTAGCACTTCCCTAATTAGTTATCGATGAATAATTGACTTAAACTTCCTCCTTTTATTTCTTTACTAATTTTTTATTAAATTAGGACTATATAAGCTTTATTTAACTAAATTCTTCGGTTATTTTATTAATATCCAATTTCTCAACCAAATAAGAAATAGTAGGTATTAAAATAGTAATTTAATTTACCGAAGGAATTTTTTTATAAGAAGGTTAATTAGAATTACTATTTAATCTAATTAAACTACCTTTCTTTTTAATAATTATTAATACTTTCTTTTTAATCTAATTTACATCGAGGCTATCATTTAATAAGATAATTACTTTATTATTAGTATAAATATTATTTTCAAAGTCGAAATATTCGTAGATAGCCTTAATTATTTCGGTATAGAACTATAACTAGATTATTTAATAAACTTTTTCTTTAAAATTTATAATCGTTATAATTATTCGCTTAATCCTCTTCGCAAATTTCTTATAGAAATTGTATATTACTATAAACTAAACGAAATCCTTCTCTTTATCCAATTATTTCATTAGAAGTACTAAATACCGAAATATTACTTTAATAATCTTCTTTTTATTATAGGGAATTAATTTATTATAAAAGACTTTTAATAAAATAATTTTATTATTTATTTAATTAAAGTCTAGTACTAAAAATTCTTACTTTAAAAAACAATAGAATTCTTTCTATATCCAAATACCCTTATTAGTAACATCCTTCGCTATTTCCCTATAAATCTTTCGAGCGTCTAATATATACTATTAGTACTAAGTATTTAATTTGGTTTTATTAGAGAGGTAATAGTTTTAAACCCTATTATCGAATTCCTCTAAATATATAAATATATTCTTCCCTTTAAATTATATATTAAACGTGCAATCCTTTACAAAGGAAGTTATAAGAGTCTTACCTATTAACGTTTATACTAAATACGTATTAAATAGACTTTTAAACAAATTTATATTTAAATTTTACTATAATTTATATTTAGACTCTTACAATTATTCGGATTATTTAAATATTATAATATTTAATCCTAATAATCCTAAAGAAAAATATTAATAATTATTAAAAGGTGTAAAAATAGGGGTAATAAAATAATATTTTTAAAGGTTTAGAGGATACTATTTAAATTTAAAGCCTTAAGAATAATTAGTCTCTAATTTAGTACAATAAAATCCCAAAGGCAATTAGACAAATCGTAAAAAAACAATACGAAAAAGCGGAGGCCGGGTTCGAATACTAAGCGGAAGGGCAAATAAGGTATATAAATATAAGGTACGAATAGAAC